TACTTACCCAAGAAAACTCACAGCTGTAATTGCTGCCAAAGGTACTTTGACCAAGTACCTTTGGGCAATACTTACGCAACCAGCAAGTACCAGTTTTTTTTATTATTTTTGTGCCATAGTAAAAATCATTTGCATCTTCACAGTATCTTTTGTGCACAGTATCTTGTGTACATTAAATGGTGACAGTGCCAACTAAATCCATTTGATTCCAGGTTGTAACACAACAAAATATGGAAAAGTTAAAAGAGGATGAAAACATCTGCAAGGCAGAGCATGTAAGGAATATACTCTGTATGTAGAGCATGTAAGGAATATGAAAGCAGACAATTAAACACTGTGTTTTTACATCCTAAATAAATAAAATTCAGGGTGCAATAATACACACTTTTTGACAGGGGAAAAGGTCCTACAACATTCAGCATTCCCCAGCTGGCAAGAGACTGCTGGGAATTGTAGGAATTTTTCTGCCTATTTTTTCTGTCATAGGAACGTGTCCCAGGTGAGCCTGATGATGCTTTAGCTTTTCCTAAGCTCTGCTTTTTTTACTCAAGCATGCACTGCTGGTCTCACATGACATGGGAAGCCACTGTGAAATCTTATCATTGTGAGCCCACTCTGTCGTCCAGATCCAGAGTTACAAGATCTGTTTTCTGAAAAGGTCTGTTCTAAGGTTATCATGTATCACTGTTGCTTCTGTGGTCATCTAGCCCAGGATCACCATTTTTTCATTGTAAAAAAAACAAAACAGAACCAAAAACCATAGATTCCTTGCTCTCTATAGCCTTCAGCATTCTAGAACAGATGTGTCATTGCTTCTTTTACTCCTACAGCACAAAAATACATGTATGGAGAAGGGGAATCATAGCAAGACTGTTGATTTACATTTAAGAAAAATCTCTCTTGAGGCTGGAGTGCCTGGGAAGCTCTGTAGACATGCAGGTATACTGTGGAAGAGGAAGAGAGAACCCATTTCAGGATGCAGTGGTTCAATCAGGAGTCCAATAGGGAAAAGATGAGGATTTCACTCATGGAGGCTGCTGGGATGCATGGCGAGACTAAGAAGATGGAATGGGGAGCATGGAAGCCATGCTACCTGTGTAACCATGAAATCATCTGACCAGTAAGTCAGGCAAAAATCTATGCACCATGGAAACAGCCCAGCCACTGTTTTCTTAGATAAAGTGGGTCACATCAGAACAAGGACAGCATATGGGTTGAATCAGTTTTCAGTGTAGGTGAGAGTATCCCTCAGGAAAAAGGGAAAATATATATAATTGTGAGTCTTTTCTGAAACTACAGAGCAAAGCACTGCCCCCCCCCACACACACACACCATACAAGCACTGTACACATAGACACACCTATACATTCATATAATTGCCAATCTTTCCTGAAACAAGAGAGCAAAACATGATAAACAGGCCATGCCATTAATGTAATGTTCACTTATAGCCAATTTACACTGGCCAGTCAAATTCTTCATAACCACCAGCTGGAAATTCTGGTCACATTCCAGCCAAAGTTTAGTACTCCTATAATTTCAACGGTACAATCAGATGCATGTGCCTTCAAATAAATAGCCTGAGATTAATGGGGCTCTCTCAAAAGTAACTCTACCTGGAATTTCAGCCTTGGTCTCTCCTCTTTCATGCATGTTAATGGGATTGTGCCAATTTCATGTGACATCGGAGTCATCCTGGTGTGGGGGATGAAGGTCAGCCCGAACGGTCCTGCATTGAGTCATAGGGAGCTCTGGGGTGATGAACTGATTGCGCACACATGACAGGGCAACTTTTACTACAGTTCCCTTGCCCGGTTCAAATATACTCCTGCTAGAGCATACAGTCTGCTGTCCAGATGCTAAAATAAAGTTGCAACAGAGGCAACCGTTCTTCATCTTTAAGTTGGAACTGAACAGGACTGTCCTTCAGACTGAGAATGCTTTCAGACTAAGGATGGTTCTCTAAAAGCCATGCAAATGGAAGGCATCCAGCCACCCTAGGCAAAATGTCCTCTGGTAGGCCCCCTCTTCTGTTAGTAACCTAGGAGAATATACCATGCTGTAATAGTGGTGCCGCAACCTTGGCTGTATTCCTCAGAGTGACACTAGGTCAAGGGCATTCTGGGAAATTAAAACGATGACTAGGTCCATCTGTTTAATGTTGTTCCAAGCACTAGATAGGCTGGCGGGCTGTGGGGGTGGGGAGACACTAAGAACCAAGGTAGACATCTGGAGAGGGCCCTGCCAGGCAACCCTAGCAACTGCCCAAAGTTAGCAGGTATAGATGTCATTTATGACTCACCCAATGTGTATGCTTACGCCATGTTTGCGATAAACTAATTTAATGCCTCTGAAAGTGCCTGCAGAGTGCTGAACCTACTTACACATCTGAAATGCTTGTTCTTTCGTAAGTGCTACGAACAAAATATACCTTGATCTATGCTCTAAGTATAGAGAGAATTAACATTATCTCAAGTGCCAGCAAAGCTAATCCTCACAACAGCTGTTACCACTCAAGCTGAAAATGAATATGATTTTAACTTTGCCTGGATCTAACCTAATAAATTCTATTGTTTTCCTAAGCACTTCTGTGAATTAAAGTGAACTCTGGGTTGCCATCCAAATGCATGTATAAGGCTGGAGTGGCTTTTAGGCATGTAGCCAAATAGCCTCCCAATTCCCTAATAGGGTATATAGCCCTCCCTCTAGGAAATCTTTGCCTCAAAAGTTGGAAAACAAGCTATTCTCCATTTCCCTTCAGCTTTGCGAAAGAGTTTCTCAGCACTGTCAAAGGGACTCAGCAGGCTCCAGCACTGTGACCCTGCAGCCAGAGAATGGGGCAGCCTCTGTGTCTCCAACCAGGCCTGGCCCTACAATAAGGCAGAGGGAGGGGATGCTGCAGGCAGCAGATTTGGGGTATCAAGAAAAGGCAGCAAGTTGTTACTGATTGATATAATATTGATTTAATTATTTTATTTTTAGTGCTAGGGATAGGGAGATGCAGTTGTGGGCTTTTTGGTCACATGTGCCAAGACAGAAAAACGGTGTGCTCACCAGGGCATGCTGGACATTATAGGCCTTTTTCTATTTAAACCTGCATGGGATTGTGCCCTTGGCTATTTCGAGATAGTAGCACCTTGAACTAGGAGAAGGGGCAACCTCCCTCTTAGGTACCAAAACGCCTTGAATTAGCCGTTTTCCACCATGTACAGACCTATCCAATGCTCAGTCAGCTGAATAACTTGCTGCTGTCTTCTCTTGCCTGGCTGACCAAATTTAAGAATTTTGGAAGGGAACTTCAGAAAAGCTAAAGCAATATTATGCAAACTTCTGAGAGCCTGCCCTGCATTTTCATTAGTTGTACCCTGGCTACTGATTCAGCCTCCAAATAGGTGCCAGGAATGTCAGAGTTCTGGACTCACCATTCCCTAGAAGGATTTTAATGCAGGCATGCAGCAGGGTTCCCCCTAATCTGGGGTGGAGAACTTGCAGCATTCTTGATATTTCCAACACTGCCAACAATATGGGATGTTGGGCTACAGGTTTTCCATCCCTGTCACAATTCAAAGGAAGGAAGGGATGTAGAGGATGTACCGTATTTAATGGAGTGGTGCATAGGTGATTCAGACTGTCTGAAGCTCTCTTCATAAATGCCCTTGAACTACCCTCTGAACCTGAACCTACTAGAAATTTTATCTATCAGTTCCAATAATTACATCTATATTGATATATCACACAGTAATAAATAGGGAAGGCCAAATTCTTACTTAAGATTACATGGCAATATCGTAGAAACATAGAAGTAGAGCGAGTCAGAAAGGGTCTCCCGGGCCATCTAGTCTGACCTCCAGTACCAGCCGGCTCCGCTCACGACACGGCCACCATGTGCATGTCCAGCCTATCTTTGAACACCACAGGGCCAAGATGGATGGCTCCAAAAATGACAGTGTCAAAAGCAGTTTACTACAATGAACTCTGCTGTGGCGTGCAATGGAGCCCTGGCAAGATGCTTACAAACAATGTGTTTGTCTCAATGTTTTTTAAAGCATGCAGCTGTAAATATGGCCATCATCTTAGCAAGGGTGGAATTGGACTCAGTTCTGATTAGTTTGGAGGACTGAGATGCTTACACAATGCTGCTAACCTCCAGTGCCGCAATGTGAAATGGAAGGCAGTTCTGTGAGGTGGCATGGCTTCTTAACTCCCCTATCAGTTTTTTCTTGAAAATCCCTATCCAACTGCTTCCATCTTCCACTTCCTACCCAGAGGAAAGATGTAGCATAATTAGCAGTGATCCGGTGGAAAACTGGCATAAGGGGAAAGAGTTTAGCTGCTCTGCCACAGTATGATAGCCAAAATACCTGCTAAGTTTCTGATGTTGTAGGAAATGAAAGACAGGAATGTAGGGAAAGGTGTTTTAATGTCAGATTGTGATGAGAAAAACAGTCATCATCAATATTTATTTCTATCCCAGTATTGGAACTCAAGGAGACTCACAACATTAAAAACTTACACATTTAAAACATTCATAGAAATATACAAAAGTTAAAAGACAATCACTATGTCTCAGCCTAGTGCACTGCGCAGAGTTGTTGTGAGGGATACAACACGTGCGTGGACAGCAGGTATGCTACGCCTGGGCTTCAAAGGTACCATAAAAATGTAATAGGACCATTATCTTCCGCGTGACGATTTATTCTTGAGTAGCTTTTCCCTACAGCTGCCATCTCTCCGTGTTGTTGATTTTTGCAAGCACACTAACTTTACGGTGCAGGACAAAGTATAAATTTGTAAATATATGTATATATGTAAAGTATAAAGTATAAAGACCTAGAAATTTGCAGCAGAGCCCCAATCAGGACTCCGGAAAATGATCTGGAGAATGCTCCTTTCGCGCAGCAGCTGGAAAGTGGACACAAAGTCGACAGGCCAAACCGGCCACTCCAGACTACGTTTCCCAGGACGCCGTGCGTGGGAACCCGGAAGTCCGTGCCGTAGCCCGTACAGCTCTGAGTGAGATGGCGGCGTTAGGAGCGTCGAAGTGCTTATGGCGCGGCGGGGCGGCTGTGGCTTTGCTGCTTTCGAGGAGCTCTCGCGTGCGCCAGACCGCCTGGGGGTGGCGGGGACTCTGCCAGAACCTGGAAGGAGGTGAGTAGCTATGCATTAGTCCTGGAAGCGCCTTCTGGGGAAGAGGAGCTTCCAGCTGGAGCGTGCATAAACTCCCATTGCATCCTTCCTTGACCTAGTACCACGCAGAGGTATTGGACTACAACTCCCAGCATGCTCTCACAAGTCATACCGAGCGAGGGAGACTGAGAGTTGTAGTCCAATGTATATACAAACGTATCGTCGGGGAAGCATGTTCCACTGGGTTAGGCTGCGGGACATGAACAGTTATGTCATGGCTAACATGGCAACGGGAGCAATTCTATGTTTTTCCAGAGAAGAAAGCTCTGCAACTCCCAGTTGTGAAATGCTGAAAGTTGTTGGACTCTTTCCTGCCTAAACATGTGCCCTAAATTCACTTAAAATGATGCACAAGAAGCTGCTGTCTAGTCGAATAGTTTCACTCCAGGAGTAAGCACCCTAATTCTCTCCATATATTTTGGATGAGAATTTATGTAATCCCTGACTATTTATCCATACTGACTGGCATCTTTGAAGACTGTTGTCCTAAACTTATCAAGGATTCTTATCAAGAATTGTGCTGCAGTGACTTCCAAGTTCTCAAGGAAACAGACAAATCTTAAATCTGAAAAGGATGCTAAGATATGAACCTAGGACCTTTTGCATGCATAGTATTTTTAAAATGACTGTACTGGGGTTATTTTCAGTATTTAAATTAATAAGAAAGAAAGAAAGAAGATCATACAGATATAAATCAGAAAAACAACAGTGTTAAGGTTCTCTCCCACCCCAAGAAAAAGCTACCTAGATTTAGAATTTATCAAAGGCTTTGATTGGGAAAAAAAGTTGGGTTTATGTTTGTGTTTAAGCTGCAGCTTAAAATATTCCAGAAGGGTCCCAAACCAACACAAACATGAGACACTATGTGGACATTCACTGATGTTAGCTTTATGATGGTGGAGTTACACATGCAAGCCATCTCTTGATATTGTGGCCATGAGCAACTCAATCTGAGTGTGTGAACTAAATAAATAAATTCAGTGAGGTGAAAAGTTTGCAGCATGTAGTTATAGAAGATTGAGCTAGGGCTCAGCCCCCCAAAACATTAGAGTATGATGAAAAATGCCTCTGCAGGCTTGCTGTATAGTCATTGCTAGCTTACACATAAATGCTTTATTTATGTTTCAATTTTTTATAGTTTTTAATCATGTAAGCTACATCTTATTTGTCTCTTGAGAAACCTATATGCGGGTCAAGAAGCAACAGTGAGAACTGGACATAGAACCACTGATTGGTTCAAAAATTGAGAAAGGAGTTCGGCAAGGCTGTATACTGTCGCCCTGCCTATTTAACTTATATGCAGAGCACATCATGAGAAAGGCGGGCCTAGATGAATCACAAGTTGGAATTAAGATTGCCAGGAGAAACAGCAACAACCTCAGATACGCAGATGATACCACTATAATGGCAGAAAGTGGAGAGGAACTAAAGAGCCTCTTGATGTGAGTGAAGGAGAGCACAAAAGTTGGCTTGAAATTCAACATTAAGAAAACTAAGATCATGGCATCCAGTCCTCTCACTTCCTGGCAAATAGATGGGGAAGAAATGGAGGTAGTGACAGATTTTATTTTCCTGGGCTCCAAGATCACCGCAGACGGGGACTGTAGCCAAGAAATTAAAAGAAGCTTGCTCCTTGGGAGGAAAGCTATGGCACATCTAGACAGCATACTAAAAAGCAGAGACATCACCCTGCCAACAAAAGTGCGTATAGTCAAGGCTATAATTTTCCCAGTTGCAATGTATGGCTGTGAAAGTTGGACCGTAAGGAAGGCTGAGCGCTGAAGAACTGAGGCTCCTGAATTGTCAGTCCTAGAGGAGATCAACCCTGACTGCTCCTTAGAAGGCCAGATACTGAAGATGAAACTAAAATACTTTGGCCACTTAATGAGAAGGAAGGACTCACTAGAGAAGAGCCTAATGCTGGGAGCAATAGATGGCAAAAGAAGAAGGGGACGGTAGAGGATAAGGTGGCTAGATGGAGTCACTGAAGCAGTCGGTGTGAACTTAAGTGGACTCTGGGGGATAGTGGAGGACAGGAGGGCCTGGAGGAATGTTGTCCGTGGGGTCGCGATGGGTCAGACACGACTTCGCGACTAACAACAACAACAAGCTACTTTGTCAGCTCCCTGGTAGAAATAATCAAGTAAAGAGGAGTGGCATCTGGGCAAAAAGCATTTCCTTGCTGAACATCTCCCCTTTTGTAAACACTACCAAAAGATCCATGGCTTGGAAACTTCATTCCCCAATTCTAATTTGAAGTTTCAATCACGACAAATGGCTGCAGTATTTTTATAACTGTGGTTTACCTAGCCCTTGAAAGAGGAAGCCCCATCGCAACCCATTCATTATCTTGTGAACCTAAAGTTCTAATGTAATTTAAATTGAGTGTTCTTCAGACAATTAAAGTTACCTGTAATGATTGGAAAATCATTAAAGGTGCAGTCTTATGCATGTTTAGACAGTATAAAAGCCTACAATGCACAACATGGCCAGCTATCATGTAGGCCTTTTCTCTGTCTAAGAAGGCATTGGATTGAGTTCTAAATCTATGTAAGAAAATAAGATAAATACACACACACTTGCTGTCATAAGCACAACCATGGCAGGGCTTTGGATTGGTGGCCTTTCTGCTGTGGCTTCTTCTTGATTCCACATAATTGTTCTACCTGTCTTTTGAGAGTATCTCAGGAGAGTAATCTAAGTATTGCAATATTCTTTATTTAGAAGTATATGCCACTGTATATAACGATGCTGTCTTCCAGGTAAGTATGTATAGTGCTGTCTGTCTTGTCTGTCTGTCATTTAATTTATAATCTGTATTAACCAATAGTTCAGCACTTTCTGGATGGATTACTGCTGGCACTTAACAGAACTTAAATAGTAGCACTTCTCTTTAAATATTCCACCAGATATTAAGATGGAATTTTCTTAATCCACCACACTTTAAAAGAAACATTTGAGTTACTGCATTTTACCTTTTCTTATATTTGGACTCTCCTTTTTTCCAGAGGACAAGAAATCTGATGTTGCAAAGCCTTGCTTTACAGATGAAAAAATTCAGAACTTGCTGTGCAAGATGACAGGGATGGACTTAAAAAAGATTTTTAAGCCAGTAAAACAGGAACCTAAACCCCCAACATACTCACTGATGACAGAATTACAGCTGGAAGAGGTACAAGTTTTCCAGATATGTCTTTAATTTTAAGAGGTAGATCTGACACTTTGGGTTGTTTGTGGTTTTATTTGTTCTGACTGTGTGGCATACAAAAACCCCCACCCAAAGCAACTTGCAAAAGATTTTAAAGACTTGAAATTATCTGACACTAATTCGAAGCAATATTCTTGCCTCATCAAACACTAAACATTTCTCATTTTATGAATGGTAAGAAAAAGTGGGAACATTTAAATATAACAGATTTAGAGCAACTTTCATCATCAGAGGTATGCAGATTGATCCTGGTGGCAATCAAATATGGAAGAATTGACAAAATTCATTCATATCTTAAGCAGTGCTAATACAAACATACCCTCTTCCTTTGGAGAAAAATGTCTGTCTCTCTCTTTGGTATGACAACAGTCATGACACTTTAACATGAGGTGAGAAATCTGGCCTTCCAAGTATTGTTGGATTCCAGGTCCCATAAGCTCCACTGGTGAGTGGTTGGGGATAATAGAAGTGCTAGTCCCATAACATTTGGAGGACCATAGATTCCCCATCCCTGTGTTAACAGAAAAGAACATATCCTAGGTATGCAGGTACCTATATAATTAATTCTATGAATGCATATCAGTAATAGAACATGTATTTTATCTAAAATGCATGTGCTCTCCATTTGTCATCTTGGTATTTTTTTTCTGCTAGTATTCTCAGCAACTGCCAAATACTATATATTTTTCCCTGCAATAACAAATTATATATTTTTTTAAATGGTGGAAAATGTAACTTTTAAAAATATCTTAAATGTTTGGACTGTTTTATCTAAATGACTCCATGTTGGTTTCTCGAAATAATTTTACAGCAATTGGTCTGTTGCCTTTCTCATGGGTTTGCTGAGTGTTGTGGTCTAACACACCTGGAGGGCACCAGGTTGAGCGACCCTGCCTTAGACCATTTCCCTCTTTAAAACAGTGGTATGAACAAAAAGCATTGTTGATACTGGACCTGCAATATGACATTTTCCGGTATGATTCTCTTTCCTATCCTTAGGCTACAAGGAAGGCCATTGAGAAGGCTAAAGAGAAGCTCAGCATGCCTCCTGTTTTGCCTGAGCGGGAACCAATTAATGATATATTAGCAGAAGACAAAGTTCTAGATGGAATTGAACCCTACAAATATGTGTTTACTGATATCACATACAGCACTCCACACCGTGTAAGCTATCAGTATCCTATCAAAATAGCAGTGGATTTTGTTGTGATTTGAACTTAGTTGCAGTTTTAGGTACTATAATCTACAAGAAGATGCACAATTTTCAGCATACTATTGTTCACACAGAACCACAGTAATGGTTTATCGTGCAGTAGCTGCTTCTTAGAATCAAGATGCAGAATTTCTAGGACTGACAGGTTGTTGGGATCTGCTTGATTTGTGCTGTTTTCATTCCATTGATAGATTTGGAAAAAGCTTCATCAAAGGCCTTCTCATGGTACAGTATTGTTGCACTGTACTTGCATGAAGCATGAGGCTTACATGGGCTTCGCTGTACTGTCTGATCCTCCTTCTTTCTCAATAATACTGGGCAGTTAGCCTGAGTTAACAGAACTCGTCATCCTCCTGTTTTGCTAACAGTTTTCTTCCTGCAGGAGCTAAGTTTATGCATAATAAACTTTAGGAAAAGATGCTGTTTCCTTTAATGAAAAAAGCAGATTGGAAACATTCATGCAGTAGAAACCTATAAATGTGTATTGTGTGTAGCAGCTAAATGAAAATTCAGTAACTGACATCTCTGTGCCATGCCTTGTTTGTGAACTTCCTAGAAATATCTGATCGTTGTTGGGAGAACTAGAATTAAGCCACAAGGCAATTCCTGAGGATGTTTGCATCTCCTTTAAGCAGTACGTAGCAGCAACAACATCAGAATTCCTAGTGTGCTCTCAGACTCCCATGCATTATAATCTGTTGTACTGAAGATCGTAATACTTGCTTTCTTTTCAGATGGCCTGCTGCGACTATTCCAAGAAACAGTTGGTCTTTTAAATTTGTACTGAAATGCAGGGAAATAATGGAATTAATGACTAAATCCGCACTTACTTACATCTTTTCAATTTTAGGAGCGTTTCATTGTAGTTCGAGAAACCAATGGAAACTTACGCAAGGCCACTTGGGAGGAACGGGACAGGATGATACAGATTTACTTCCCAAGAGAAGGACGTAAACTTAGCCCTCCAGCTGTCTTCCAAGATGAAAACCTTGTGGTAATACCTGGTGTAATTTAGGTCTTGTGAAAAGTTATTAGTCTACCTTTGGTGAATAAAATCAGGTTCAAGCATTTAGCCTAGCAGGTGTCTACTGCTCTCATTGCTATTAGCTCGCTTGATAACTACCAGCATGCAAACATTGGCCTTTAGCTTATCCTTAGGACACCATGGCCTGGCTTAGGCATTTAATTTCTTGTTTGCTAAACCATAGTTCAGCATATATGAACAAACAATGGGACCAGAATCACCCTTCTCACTGATTCCCTTACCTTTTTCCTTGTAAACATCTGGCTTTTTAAAAGTTTAATCTTGGTTAAAGATCTTGATGAACTAAAATGAGCATTTCAGAGACACTGATGGCTGATGAGGCTATTATATCAGGACAGTAGGAAGAGCTTATGGTTCCACTGCTTTTTTCTAGTGGCTAAACTATGGTATGGCAAGTCAGGCACTGATAGTCTGGACTAGTCCTCTGTGTGTACCTGACATTCATCATAAGGGAATCTGGTAGACTGCTTTGAAATGTCTTCACAGAGATTGTGATAGCCCCGTTATTGAAGTTGACACCCCTAACTTGAATAGCAGTAGTACATGCTCACTTGAACCACTTTGCTTAAAATTCTGTTGCAGAACTAGCCCCAAAAGTTTTCCCAATAGTTACCTGGTTGGGAATCCTCAATAACAGTTAATTAGAACTATTGCTTTTATTGACTAGCTTTTTGATGTGGGACACTACATTTAATCACTGTGTAACAACTTGTTACTTTAGAACGTATTTCTTCAAGACCGTCATGAAGACCTCCTTGATCACTGCCTTGTACAGTTTGAGCCAGATTCATCTGACTATATCAGAGTGAGTAGACAGTCTTAAAGGATGGGTTTCAGGTGCTACTTGCATCTATTTCTGGAAGTAGACTCAAAGCTGTTAAGAGTTTTAAGTAGTTATGTTTCTACTTCTGGGCAGTTGCATCATCGGACATACGAAGATATTGATAAATCTGGAAAATATAATCTTCTGCGTTCAACAAGGCATTTTGGAGGCATGGTGTGGTATCTTGTAAATCGAAAGAGGACAGATGGATTGCTGCTAGACATGCTCCAAAGAGATTTGTAAGTACTGTTTGAGTTCAACGTAATTTATGTAAAAAGGAATTGCATGGGTTGTTTACCATAATATTGTAGCCATTCGTAAAAACATGTTCCATTGTTGTCTCCTAGTAACTATAGGATGCACTGTTAAGATGGCTTTTTAAACTCAAGACATCTGTCATGAGCTACTTGTTAATTTGCTGTTAGCAATAAACAGTGGTTGAGGGGTTACTTAATGTGGACTTATTTTCCAGGTTCAAATCTCATTCTTTCCATCTGCATAGGAATAATGTAGGCTTTCATATGTTACCTAGATTTGTACCTAACAGTGCAACCCTGATGCCACTAGACAGTATCTTGACTGTTGTAACTGGGAAGCTGGAAAATCCTCCAAGTTGGTAAATTGTGCTAACCTCATAGCTCAGGATTCTGTGTTTGGAGTTTTACCAAACCTGGGGAATGTTTGGTAAAACCTTTTGGTAAATGGGGAATGTTTAGATCTGTAAGAATGAATAATGCATTGAAATCCAAACCAGTATGACTGGTTTTCAACCTTCCCCTGCAAGATATAATTATTTGGAGAAAATAATAAAATCTGGTACTCTGTAGATAGATACTTATTTTGAATGAAGAAAACTGAACATGGACAAGGCAATTGGATAGAAATCCAAGCACTTGCAGCATAGGAGTGATTTTTATCCTTTTATGAGTATGCCTACAAATCTGATTTGAGGCATACACTCTAGGTAGTCCCCCCCCCCCCCCCCGGCCACTAATGAACAGAAGTGAACCAGCTAGTTGTAGATTAACATGCTTTTAAAGAGAAATTTCAACATACAAACTTCTAAAAATAAAAACCCTCACCAAGTAACTTTATTTTTCAGGTTTGACGATGCTGTAAGCTTAGTTACCCTTTATCATATGGTCCATCCAGATTGCCAGTCAGCAACAGAAGCAAAAGAACAAGATCTTCAAGGACTGGATTTAATTAAGGTATAGCATAGTTTGCTACATCTGAATGTAAAATGACTGGAAAATACCTAGAGGAGAGTTGTATTAATATTTCAGGTTCTACAGATCTTAAAAAACAATTTTGAGATAGGGAAGAGATGACCAGGCAGTCTACATAAATGCTGCACCTGCATCAAAACATTTAAGTAGAATCAGCTTGCTTTTAGGCACACCTGTTAAAGCTATATAGAGCTTTGTTGGATAGCAAAGAACTCCCTTAACTGGCTGGTAACTACTCAGTTTTCTTGCATCTGTCTAATTTCACAGAATGATAAAGTCAGGGTTAGAATAGTGGGTTGATTTCACTGTTTTTATACAGCATGCTGGAACATCATGCTAAGATGTTCAAAAGTTTGCAAGTTACCTAATTACTTCAATTGTTACAGGTTTTTGCGAAGACAGAAACACAGAGATCTGGATACATTGAACTTGCACTACAGTCTTATCAAACAGATTTGTCTGAATCTGCAGCTTCATAAAATGTTCTGTTTTATCCATTCATTCAACATGGTGGGTGTCAGGGATTATCAGGGGGGTGGGGTGTAAAATGTACATTAAAAATTTAAATTAAAAGTTTTACTATGAAATGTGTAAGTATTTCCATGCTCTTTCTAAAGTGCATCTTCCCTGTTTGATTGGCCAGCTGCTCACCATTCTATTAATGCTGTATAGGTAAAACACTGAAAAGGAATTTTAAAGACATTTATTAGAAGACTTTGTCTTCTTGTGACTGAGGATCCCACAACAAAAGGAAGTTTCCAATGCACACTATGATGGGTCTACCTACTTCGGGCTAGTATTAAAAAAAGTTGTTTTCCAACACGAAGATTGCACTAATAATCAAATGTAGGGAAAAGCAGTTTATAAGAAGTTTGGTCTTCCAAAAAAAAAAAAAATCAGTCAAATATCTCTTCATCCAAATTAATGTCGGTAGTATCAATATCCTCCAGTTCCAAGATATCCAAGACTTCATCCAGATCCAATACCTAAAGGCAGGAAGTACCTAGTTAGCATTTTTTCTGTCATAATTATAGTTCTGTTAACTTACCTATAGGTATGTTGAAATTCTTCCAAGTGTAGTTTTGTTATGTTAGTGTCACTAACCTTTCTACTTTTATCAACCTAAAAAACCATCAGCATAGTAGGGACATATTCTGGCATCATCAACCATGATTCCAATTATGGAATATTTATCTGACATAGAAAGAGTGGTCCTCTGGCTCCTAGGCAACATCTGTGGGGATGGTTATAGAATAGTTTGATTCTCAGCTTTGACCCTGGTACGGCCAGTGTAGGAAGAACTCTGCTAGCTGTTCTCCAAGGTCAGAAAAACAGCTTGAGGGAGGGAGAAAAGGAAGCACAGAGAATATTCAAGTAGCCAGGATGCAAGATAGCCTGAAGTTGCTCCAGTCTCCTTTCTTCCTGCAAAAACTCTTCGCTAGATGGTCAAAAATGACTGTCCAACGAAAAAGTGGGGCAAGGAGGTGAAGACTCGCTGAGTGTTGGAAGAACATGAGCCTCCGAACTTGGAGGGTCACACTCATCTGCATAGGACTGTGTCCTAAACCACAGATCTCTCTACAAGGCTCACTGATTTCCAAAATAACCACACTAATGTTCCTCATCCAGCAGACAGAATTATTTTTACATCTGTACGAATCAGAGGGCACACTGAACTAGTGGCAAAATGAAAACCAAAGCATTCCCATACTAAGTTGTTACAACATTTTCAGCAGATACTGAAATGATGAATAGTAGCTTACAAACATGGTAGTATGAAATTGGACTTGGTGGATCGATTTTAGCTAAAATTTGCTGGAGTGTTACGCACTGAACTGTCCTGTTTACTGCCTCAATTATATGAATAACTATTCCATCTTGACAAAAGGAAGTATCATTCACATCAGTGCTTATAGCTATGAAAATTAGAAATTTCTGCAGAAGTGCATATTGATAAAACTACTTTAGTCAAAACAATCAAAACCTGAAAATGTAAATGGCAGCCATGTATATTTCTCACCTGCCTGGTTTAATTTTAAAATTTATTTGCCCATGAGTTTAGGTAACAATACAACTATATATCCAAGACTGGGAATAAGTCACAATTGCTAATATTATGGAATGTACAGTTTTGTAACTTCACATTACACGTAGAAGTAGACAAGTTGAACAGCTTTAGCACCCACAGTTTAGCACAGCAGGATTTATATACTGAAGTGTGTAATAAAGAGAAAGGTGTACTGTTCAAAAATTTAAACAAATTTTATATTGGAAGCAGTATTCTTACATAACAGGATCTGGAATTATAGGCGGTCTGTAGGCACATTTTATTCCTGCCTTTGCCTGGATGTTCCCTTTTTTGCCTCCCTTACCCCATTTTGAAGATTCCCCTTTCTTTCCACTCTCTACACTTTTGCAATCACTTCAGCCATGGAGCCCTAGCCAGGAAGTTGGCAAATGGTAAGAATTTATGGCTGCTTTGGCAAGGTTGCCAGGGGACAAGAGCTCGTGAAGGCTAGTGTTAGGCAGAAGAGCATGAGGATGTGGTTGTGGTAGGTAAAATGAGGCTGACACTTGGTTTATGCTAAGTTAGGACAAGAAAATTAGTCCAGTGGTAGGTGATCCTGATTGCTGAATGCCGGTAGGTCAAATTCACATCTCACCAGAAAGTTAATCATTTTGTAGGACTTGATTACATATAAGCTTAACTATGTTGAGCTAGTAACTGAGTTCAGATGGCACAACAACAATCACGGGTGACAGGATGTCAAGGGAAAACGTGAGCTATCTTTGTTTACAAAAAGGAGGTGGTAAGATTTACACTCTTCATGGCAAGATCCTCTTTATTTTTTTGCACTAGAATGAGCTCACTTTTCCAATTGTTCCCAGGATTATAGGTGCTTGGAAAAGTGTGAGCCATCCACTTTTAAAGGAAACTGGCTATGCTTTTGATAGGTACAAAGGCATTCATGCCTACCTGTATCCCTGCCAAGCAACCAACTTTAAAAAGAGCCTGCTTTCACAATCTCCAGAAAAAAAGTTAAAGTGGCAAAGCCACATTGAACCAAAAACAGGTTACAATCAAGATAAGAATGGGCTCAAGTTGGTTCTGCCATGGTGCCCCTCAGAGATACCCAGAACAGAACTAAAGGGGAAGAACAGCACATGATGATCCCAATCTGTTGGGCACACTCCGGGTTGCTTATAAACTACCAATCCAGACTAGCAGGATTATAGCCTCCCCACTGAATAACGTTTTCAGCTTGATGCACCTGAGCTTTACCTTTTCATCTTTTACTGTTTCAACTTGGTCCTTTCCTGCAACTGGAAGCACTACCACAGGCTTAGGAGATGGGGCTAGTTCTTCCTCTTCTGGCTCCTTCTAATGAAAAAGGAAAGACTTTAAATTGTCTAAGAAAAAAAGCAGAATCCTGTTATTCTGTTGGCTAATCTTTCCAAATACAGATTCAGAAATTAATCAGAAAATACTAATCCTACACAAAATCCAAGTTAAAGAGAAAGCAGCATATGGAAACTGGACCAGTCTATATTTCTGCCCTTATTTCACTATTACATCCCTGCATGTGAACTTTGCTGTGAGAAAATTTCTCCATGAATTCCCTGCTCACCTACCTTCACATGGGGGAAAGGAAGCATCAAGAGTATGATCACACCCAGATATCAGGATCTGAAACCAGTAACTCTAGGAACAAGCTATAGTTGCACTTGGACAGAACAAAAAACTGTTTCATTCAAAATTATGAATGATAGGTTTTACACTTCCCTAAGGTGTCAAAGGTAGAAGCATTCTCATAGATGAAAAATGGCTCATTGTAACACTTGAACCAGATTTCTCTCATACAGAATGCCCTCACAGAAAAATGCAAGTCACCAACTGCAGCAAATCTTAAAGGCGTGTAACGGCACTTATGCATGTTCATTTTTTACTTTTGCTTTCCCTCCTGTGCTGTAAAAATGAAGACGTGTAGTTAATTTGTGTATACTTTGCCAATGTATGTGAAAGTTACTGTACAAATTATAAAATAGTAAAGATGATGCAGTAGACACCAAACCATCCCAGATTATTTCCTACGGCAGGAAAATGCATCTATCTTTATTGGTAACTGTACAAGCCAAGAACATATTTCAGCTATCAAAACTTTACATAATATCCTTCCCTCTCAGCTTATGCCAACCTCCCTTGATACGGCTGTTATATTGGAAAGTACAGTCAGTGGCTTATCAACACAAAGTTTATGTGCAAGCATTTAGAAAGCTGTGTCCAAGTGCACTAAATCATACTTTTTTTGCCCCCTACAAGTGCACACATGGAGTTACACTTTAAACCCACTGGAGTCAATATATTTAGGGATGCAAGGCTCCCATTCTCATTAAAGCCAGTATAGAACAACAGCTTGACATTTACAGGATTCCTTAATTAGATGCCTCAAGAATAATTTAAAAAATTAAGGGATTAGTGTTATTTCACAGTTCCTAAAGCATCTTTGAAGAGGAGAAATGTAGCAATTTTCAGGTAGACATTCAATTTATTCACATACAGAAATAAGGCAAGCTTACAGCAATAGTTATTTACATAATCCAGAGTGTTTTTTAAATCCTATAAATATACACGATGCCTTACGTTGCCATTCAAAACAGTTCCCATGTTAAGAAAATGTAGTCTGAAAACAATGCAGTTACAAAGCAATCTTTTATCGCCAAAATATCTCAAATGTAAGAACAAGCAATCAATTTGGCTCAGGATATGTGTGTTTTCCATAAGAAGTCATTGCATATATTATCAAAGTAAGGATTCTATATGTTTATTATTCCAGAATGTCATTAACACTGACCTTTGTCACCTCCCCTCTTTCCGGTGTGAAACCTTTGGCTTCTTCAAGTATGTTTCTCTCTTCATTTGGCTATTAAAGAAAAATAAAATAGATAAGCAGAACATCTTAAAGAGATACAGAATTTCCTTCCTGTCTGCCAGATTCCATGTAGAGTTGTTTACAACTTGCATCTACTTACAGTGACTAGGGGATATTCACTGGCTAGCCACCGATCACTATGTGTCTTCTTGAGGTATTCTTCAGCAATAAAAGCCTCTTTTAATCCAGGAAACAAGTTTTCATATTCTGTGGGGTCAGCCAGGGATTCGGCAGCTTTCTGGTTGACTTTAGACAGATTTTCTCTCCACAGTTTTACAACCCTGTCAATGAAACAGATGGCCCCCATAAGCAGCTTGGTTATAAGCAAAATAATTTTACTAGTTAGAAAGGCACACACAGTTACCTTGAAACTTGGCTTGGCAAATATGTTCGTGCCAGAAAAGCAGCCTCTGGTAGGCGTCCTGTTTTAATCAAGAGCTCAAGACAGTTTTCAAGCCTACAATGATACAATGGAAAAGGTAAGCCATGTTTGGATGGGGTTAACACATCTGAAGCAAAAAAAGGGCTATTTTAAAGATGCTTCTAAAACTAGCACAAATGTGTCATCTAGGATAATGTGATACCATCATTTGTAATCTCACCTGCAGTACTGTTTTAAATGCAAACTACTGTTGAATACCAAGATCCAATGAGGCAAAATTTGGCTTCTGATATGTACACCTATGGATTATGCATAGGGGTGCTAAATTTGTATGAAAGAGAAGCCTAGCACATCAAGCAACTTTGTGTGATACTATGTCAGAATTTTGCCACAGGTTCTTACACAGCATACAACTATGCAACGAAGTGCATCTGAAAAATCATTACATCTTTGGGGCGCATGTTGCATCCCATGGACCATTTATTAAAGCCAGTTTAAGACTCAAAAGACTTTGGGACAGCTCAAGCAGATAGCCCTTGGAAATACAGAGCAAGTGCCTACAGTAGTAAATTCTGTAATAAAACTCAATAATTTGATTCCACCCATGGGTTTATAATATGGTAGGGTAAGCAAGAAAGACAAGGAGAATAGAAATAGTTAAAAGAAAAATAATTTAAATAAAATTAACATAAATTGTAAGGAAATCAGTGGAGAATGAAAACTGGTCAAAAGGATAAGAACTAGAAAATTGCACATATGGAGAAGAAAAAACATTAAGAACATTGCAGCAGTCAGTCCATGAGATTTAGTGCAATTGATGCTGCCAAAGTTGAAGTCATGAACTAACCAGTTGATACTGTAGAAATGTTAGATGGTTCACTACTTACTTTCCTTGCAGAAAATAACTCAGGAATGCGACATTGTTCTTGCCATCTTTTTCTGCTCCCTCAGCTAGCTTGTTCACCATGCTTGCATTTCCTGAGGCTGTGGCCAAAAGCAGTAAGCCACCATAGTCTTGTGCATGGTGCAGGCACTCCTGGGCAAGGCCAAACTGGCATTTACTGGTTGCAAGTTCAGCAAGCTGCTTCCACTTCTGTTCAGACTGTGTAAATAGAGTAATTGCACCTTTTATACTTTTATCATGTTTTAAGTAGTTTGAGACTTTTCAGACTAAATTTAACTCACTAACAGACTATTCCAGACTTCACTTCTATAGTTTCCCTCTTGCCCTGAACCCTTAATTTGTAGTGCAAATTCATAATTAAAGAGAAAATCCTTAATATATTATTTGATCTAGGATCAATAGGTATGCCGCCTATATAAAGTAATGTTTAGTTAGCCTACAGAAAGCTAATCACAGACCAAACCAGCTTAAAAGAGGTTTCCTACTATGATAAATAAACTAAAAATAATAATTATGAACCTGGATAGATATGGAGGCCATCTTAACCATAACCATATTCTATCATAAAAACACCGACAGATTAATCTGGACTAAAAATAAATCAGCCAAGAATACAGAAAACCCATCTTGAATAAAACTGCTGTCAAAAATGGGAAATTATCTCTCAAGATGGCGCTTAAAAACTTGAAATCCAAGAAACAACAAAGCAGCGTAAATTGGCCAATAATCCAAAATGCAAACCTGTTAAGACTCTCGGGAGGTATTCAATCACTTGCAGAGCACGTACTCTTAAATTCAGCTCAAACTTGACAAACTCTGTTTCTGTGCATTCAGAATTCCACATCTTTCCTATCCTTTCATATCTTAACATGAACAGTTTGTTTTCAGAATGGTGTTAACTTACTTCAGCTTCCACTGCAAGTTGATATGCAATCTTCAATTCGCCAAGCTGAAGAGCAAGTTCAAAGCGATGTTCAGGATCTGTAGATACTGCAAGTGCTTGTTGTTTGAAGCCCTGAAATGCAGTTTTCAAATAGCACATCATTAGTGAAAGAATTTTCTTAGCACTCCATAGAAAACACAACTGAATCACAAGCACACATACCTCCCTTTATCTGGGTCAAATCCCATTGTGTCTGTCCTATTCTGAAAACCTTATTATAGATACTCAAGGACATTTAGGACATAATTGCATGGCTGGCCAAGAAATGTTGGGACTTTGTCACAACATCCATAGGATTCCACCCTTAATACCCAATTTATAGAACTATCTAGCTAATTTAAATTTGGAAGTTTTACCAATGCCAGTATACTACATGGGCAACTTTTAATATTCAATGATTATTCCAGAAGAATATGGCAATTGTTTTTACCTGCTTCTCAAGGAAATGCGCAACTCTGGTCCTCTGCTCCTTTGGAATTGTGGGAAGAACTTTGTCAGCCATACTGAAGTCTCTCCTCATCACTGCAGTCTGATACTCTAGCACTGAGACCAGCAAGGAGTAACTCACTATATTTAATTCTTTATCACCAAGATAAAGCCTGTTGTCTTTGGGTATATAGCCCAACAAATACATTGTCCTTAAAAAAAGAAAGAAAAGAAAATAGGTGTGAAAAGGAAGAGAGAGGGCTTGCTTTTAAGATCCAGAACAGAAGCTTTTAGAATAACTTTAGTTTGAGAAATCATCCGTATGATCATGAATGTCAATTTTACCTATCAAAGATGCTGAGTGGAAGAAAAACTCCAAGAAATCATACTATAAAAATCACAGGGGAGAGAAACTGGAAGGAACAAAGTATCCAACTCTGAGTTCTTTCATTTCTCCAAGTAGTAGTACACTAGACACAAATGCTTGGGAAGTGGGATGAATATAAGAACTGAAGCCTAATGTGAGAAACAAGTTGCTTTGCAACTTAAAGCTGTGTTGCTGATGTTTAGTTGCAAGACCGGACTGTAAGGCACAACACTCATTTAAGGACCATATACCTGACCATCACCAGCACAGCAATGACTCATTGCCACATTAACAACTCTGTTCAAGATGCACTGACAGAATTATTTCATATCAGAACAGTATTTGATGAACTACTGGATGCTCACCGGTCCAAATGTGCAATGGTGACAATTTCTCCTCCAACATAGTAATTCAGTCTATTCACTGAACTGGTAAAAATAAAGCAGTCGCCTACCCACAATCCTGTTTTCACAATCTTTTGAATCTCACCAAGGACCTGGAGGAGTAATAAAAATAAACATTAACTGTATTTGAATTTATATCACATAAAGAATGACCCTTTTGGGAGAAAAAAAAGACAAGACTCGAGAATCTTTTCATCTTCCCCAGAAGTATCAGACAAGAAAAAAAAGCTGGTACTGGGTGGAAAGGATTGAAGAACGGAAGCCTTATGTGAAAGGCAAGAAGTTGCATGGGCATCTCAAAGTTGTGCAGGTGGAGGGCCCCGTAGTCAAGCTTTGCACTCTAATCTACACTCATCGAAGGACCATATTCTTTACCCCTTAGCTGAGTAAGGCACAAGGAAGTTCTTACAGTTCATGAAATCGTTTTCACAATATTGTAAAATGCACTAAATCATGCTTTTGTTCTCTAACTCTGTCAGCAAAATACTTAGATCACTACAAGATTAGTACTTATCTGAAGACTTCCAACTATGGTCAGCTTTCACAATCTGTCTCCAAGGATACAGCCCTTTGCAGGTATGAACAGAAAACAGTTGGCTTGGGAATACTGGGAGCTGGAGGACTTTTTTTGTTTAAACCTGCATAGGATTGTGCCCTAGAATACTATTTACACATAATTTCATCAAATATAATACTATGAAATGTATAAAATATGATGTATCCATCTATGGTGTTAAATCTTTGTCACTAAAATTTTCTACGACTATTCATCATTAAGTTCAGTTACCTCAAAGGCATCTTCAATGCCATCTTCAGTGACTCCCTCGTGTGAATCCTGTGCTGCTGCAACTTTCTCAGAAAGGTATTTCAGAATGAAGAAGGATTCTTCTGTGGCTATGCAAACAAGTTCACCAGAGTCAGACCAGAAAATCTACATGAAAAGATGATAATGAATTTTAAGGTTACAACAAGGCAATAATAAGCCTAACATGGCTATTGGTATCACTAGCAAGCTTATCATAGCACTAAAAAAAAATCACACTATTATAACTAGTTACAGTATTAAAGAAAAGAATAAAAGCTAACAACAGCAGGCCTTGCAAGGGATAAGTTAGCCAGAGTGACCCTGTGGTCCCTGGAAGTATCCCACAAACCATAGGAATGGTGGATCTCTACCCCAAAAGTCCTATGACCTCATAAGGAAAGACCTTTCTGCTCTCAGTCCTTCCCATCCATCATGGAAACACAGCAGGGTGTGCTTCCTGCTACTACTATGAAACCTAGAATAGCTCAGAGAGGGAAGAAAAGGTAATATGAGAAGGTGGGTATGAGAAGCCAGATCCAAAAGCTTCTCTATTGCCTGTCCTATTCAGAGAAATGTAGGTCAGGTAAACAAATCATGAGGCTTATAGCTGTAAATGGAAGGAACTACTGGTGTTTTATTTATTTGTATTAATTAAGCAATTACACCTCTATACCAGCTATAGGCTTAACCTTTGTTCTTTTCCTGAGCTGCCTGGATTCTACTTAAATACAAAGGACTCTGAGTGGAGAATTCTCTGTCTATCAAAAGGTAACTGCTTAGGTTTCTACTCTTAGCTATTCAGCAAAATGTAGTTCAAGTATGTTTGGGTTGTATTTGGGCTCACATGTTTTGGCTGTATTTCAATTCTGCGTATAAGTTCTGTATTTTCCCAGTCGTAAAATGCCAAGCCATTGACAGATCGGACACCCAGCAAAAAGCCACCATAGATACCTGCAATGAACAGAAACAGAAGAAATTAGGACTTGACTTGAAAATGCCCAAGCTAGCTAAGATTAATTTTGAATGTGAAGTGTACAACATGCCTTCTGCTCCAAAGTCAGGTTTAAAGGACTTTTTCTCTTTGAAGTTTTTAAATATCTTGACACTGCTGTTGCTTTCCCTGATCGCATACCTGCACATAAGCAAAATGATTCCGTATAGCTCATATTCAGAAAGATTAATACACAAGGCTAGCAGTAGGCATGCTGATAACATACAGACTGCCAAAGATCTCCCAGCATGGAAAATGGATGTACCTATGGGCCAAATCAAACTGTCCTAAATTAAACCATACAGCCATTGCAAAAACTATTGAATATTACATTTCAAAAGTATAATTTGACTAAGACAACTGTGTCTTTCAGGAATGAGTCACATTTCAGTTTTACCTCTGCACTAATATAGTCCCCAACAAGACAATATACAAAGAAGTCACCAGCAGCACAGTTTGCTACTAAGAAACAGCCACAGTTGTACATTAGTCTCTCACTTGAGATGGGGCTGGAGTTCTGCACATGTACAAACTACAAAAATGCAATGTTTTTGACTGAGCCTCAGTTTCAAATTATACAAGTAAGGTTAAATATACTCTTTCTGAAACACTTTCAAAGAGTTACTTGCAGATTGCAGTTGACTTGGTGCCAAAATATGTAACAAGCACAAGACTATGCTACTTACTCTGAAGAATCATGTGCCCAAGCAAACTCCTGAGCGGAACCAAAACTCTTGTTTCTCAATGCCATAGCTGTGTAAATGATGTATTCCCCATCCCCACACACAACCACAAATCTGGAATGTAGTAAAAACAAAAACAATGGTAAATTAGATACACAAGAAAAGTTTGTACACAGGATTGGAAAGCACAATCAAAATACCGTACAGCACATTGTCTCTAACCCAACAGTTGGTTTAAAACAAGCTCTTCTATTAAAATATATATCTCCTGAAAAAGAAAAAGCTTACCGCCCATTGGGGTTATGTTGAATGGTCTGAGGATATATTTCACAACTGCCCATATCTTTCACAGCAAGTGGTAGCCTCTCTCCATCTTTAATTTCAGTATCTCCCATTGCTTTCAGGTTAGCTTGTTGAATTTCTGAGTGCTTAGCCCAAATAATCTTTCCATTAGCATCCATTGACATGGCTGGCTCTTCACGGCCAAGCTAATTAAAAAATAAAAGATCATGAAGAAATGAGTTCATATATCTATCAGATCTCTCTCTACATGTGTGCAACCAGTAAAGTGCAACTAATGCACTGAAAACATCATAAGCAATAGTAAATCACCAATATTGCATTGTTTTTCTATTTGTTTAATAAATGGAATAATTTATTGTTTGTTTCATAAAGTGATACCAGATAATTAGCAATCTGTTGGTAGATATTCAGTACAGATACATATTTTCTAAGACATACCTTAACAATGATGCTACCTTCATCATATCCCAGAGCCACGTTATTTGATCCTCTTAGGCTTGCCACACACCATACCCGCTCCATGCCATAGTTGAGAGTACTTTCCAGACGATAAGTGCTTGAATGCCAGATTCGAACAGTTCCTACATAAAGAAAAGTGGAAGGGAACAAAAAGATTTTATTTGAATTTGTGCTAAACAAAGTCATCACATGCAGTATTACTCTACATCCAAGAAAAAGAACTGAAATAAAACAGGTGTTCAATAAAACAGTTTCTTCTTATGTGCAAGCTCAAGATGGTGAATACTTTAGCCAATTGACTTGGTTCCTTTTTTCTTGACTTGTTTGTACTGACCACAGTCAAAACAATTTCCTGAATTCAAATATAACAAGATAAATTTCTATTCAAAACTGAAATTGGAAGATTTCAATCTCCTCATGAATGGCAAAGGATGGGAAAGAAGAATATGAAACCTGGGACTTACTCTGGAAGAGTATTATAGATAATAACTCATGATTTAATATTGCTTCTGAATAGGGCCCAGGCTCCTGGAAATGCACTTATCTTTTGGGAAACGGGTGTCACGGGAACTTTTTTTTTAATCCTCAGACACTCAAACATAAAATGTCATACATCAAATTTACATTTGCAAGGTGGAATACTGAGCAAAGAACAACATAAAAGTGATCTGGCAGAATGTTAAAGTGAGGTAAAAGCATGATAGGTATTAATAGAAAAAGAACAGTATGGTGAATGAATGGGATGAATAGAACAAAGATTTTACGGCACAATCTTATGCATGTTTAGACAAAAAGGTCATATAATCCCCAGCATTTCTCAGCAGAGGAATGCTGGAATATCTAGGATTATTTTCTGTCTAAAGATGCATGAAACTGTACCTCTAATTTATGTCAATGGAAAATCAAATTCTAGAAACACTTAACAAGTTTCTCTAGAAAGACACCTTGGCAAAAATGATCCTATGACTCCTCAACAGTACTGGAAAGGCCTTTTCAGAGTCACAGCTGTTATGCTGGAAAATGGCTCTGATGTCAGAGATGGGACTCTTCCCTCAGATTGCCCTCCCCACATCACAGCTTGCATTGAAGACGTGTGCTCACTGTTTCTTCTAGATCGCAAAAGTGAGATCAACATATTAGGAGAAGAAACAACATACTGTTTGCATTCTAATTAATGTAGGGCTGAATCCATACCAAGTTCAACATGTTTTCCCTTGGATACACTATTTACTTTTGTTTGCAATCCTTATTTAAAAAGCCTAGAAAGGGAAACTTTCACAATCCCATTCAGGTTTAGACAGAAAAAACGTCCTACAACTCCCCGTATGTCCTAGTTGGTTTTGCATGCTGGGAGTTGCAGGCTTTATTTCTGTTTAGAACTTCACAGGATTGCACCTAAAGGAAACTATCAAAAGGTCCACTTGATGGATTATTGTCCCAGTGCCCAATACAAACTGCAATAAGAATATGTTTCATTAAATTGTTTGAATAATTCATAAGCCTATAAAAGCACAAAATTTACTGCATTCTCTAAATACATATTAAATTGTCCCTGTCACAAAAAAATCACAAAAAAATAAACTAGCAATCTTTAAAGAATGGAAAGTTTTTTGGTCTTATGGATTAATGAAAAAATAAATTACCATCTTCAGAGCCAGTTATGATAATTGGCAGCTCAGGGTGGAAACTAACACAGGACACATTCTGTGCGTGTCCTTCCAGAGTTTGCACACAGGTTTTATTCTGAAAGGAAGAAAAAAAAGATGTAGCTAAAAACAGAATACCATTCTAAACTACTGATAAACCATAAAATAAAAATTACATATCTAGAGCTTTCAGTTACCAATTTCCCATGTCAAAAATAAACGTATCTGATTTTCAGTTCAAAAGCACAGCAAAATTATTCACCTATTTCATATTATTCCAAAAATTTTTAGGAATAGCAGGACACAACATACCTGGTAATCCCAAATTTTAACAAGACGGTCATCTGCTCCTGAAATTAGATATGGCTTATCACCTCCACTGTAGTAATCAATACAGTTTACACCCTTCTCATGGCCTTCCAAAGTGAAGTTGGGAGAAGAAGAACCAAGCTGCCACACCTTGCAAGAATATGAGAATTATCAATGGATGCTGAGTTTTTAAAATGACCATGAAAAGATTTCTTTCAAACTTTCTAAAGATAGCGGTATTTGAATATTTTGTCTTCCTATCTGCTAGCTACATATATTTAGTACAGAAAATAAAAAGCAGCAGGTGAACTTTCAGCTATATTGAGATTAGATTATATGTAAGATTATATTTACACCTCATAAGTACAATCAAGAACATGCACATTTTAGAGGTTGTAGAAAATGAAGTTTCTTCAGACTTCTCAAGATCCAGAAGCATGCTGAAACAAGATCAACCTAATCTATGCATGTTACTATCCAAACACCACACTGCACAGTGAATTTCCTCTTAAGTCCATTCTGCATTCTCCATTCAATGTGGGCACACCAAAGGCATTGTGCAGCAAGAGAGCTGTGTTGTGTCCATCTATGACATGATTTGGAGTCTCTGTACTCCCACTTACTGTTCCTTGCTGACAAGTTTTGCCATCAAGATGACATCACATGTCAAGCATATCCAAATGTTACACCTAGGAATCACACTAGCTTTTAGCAAAATCCACATTACAACTAATTGTTCCCTAATTTTGCTACTAGATATATACTGATATAGACAGAAGTTTTTGGTCAGAGTATTAGATACGACAAACAGTACTGAGTCCATGTCCTCTAAATCTGAAAACTACCAGTTCAATTATAATGAACAGCAGATAAGCATTTATGATGTCAAAATAGTGCATTGCATTTCATTGCAAATTAATCATTCCAAATGACTGATTTTCAAGTAATAGATCACTGTACCTTGATTGTCCTGTCCAAAGAGGCACTTGCAAACTGGTTATTGTCCTTAGGATTTATGACAATCTGCATTACATAATGTGTGTGTCCTTCAAAGACTTGAGAACAGGACCATTTTTTATCCCAGTCCCATAACTTAATAAGCATGTCATCTATGAGGGGGAAAAGCATAGGTCAGTGCAAGATTTTCAATAATTCTCAGTATCTCCTCCATAAATAATGTTTTCTTACCTCACTGAAGCAAGAACTAAATCTAGCAGCAAGGTAACACTTGTTTTATTTTTGTTTATGTTTTATTTTTGAACAAATTTCAACATACTATTGTGTGCCTGTCATCTTTTTATTTGTTTTTATTCTTTTGTTACCTGCTTCAGGATTTGTTTCAAATGAGAAGTGAAATATAAATATTAGTACTTTAAGTAACTTTTTAGAAAATCCTGCTAATTGTAAACAAGCTCAGCCTAGAGCCCTATACCATGGGGATCATTGCAACAATCAGTAATGCTAACAATTGTACCTCAAATCATCTAGTGGGTATCAGGCTGGAAAAAGCTGGTTTAATGGCTTGAGATGCAAGGCATGAGAAGGCTGCAAGCATCAATATGAAGTTCCTTCATGCTAAATCAAGATACTCCACAAACCTGATATGTGGCAGTGTGAAAATGCAGCTACTAATGCTAATTCTGAAATGAACCCAACACCTCCATTTTCCAAGAGATTAGTCATTCTAGTGAAGAATTTGTGTTAACCTGGCAAGGGACAGAAATTCCCCCGCCCTTAGCAATGCATATGAATGCCAGAAAGCACTGTAACTGAGTAGTAAGTAGTCTGGTTTTCACAGCATTTATCTCTGACCCAGTTCTGCCCTCAAGAAGCTAAAAATCTTCACCCCATCTGCCCGCTTCCAAAAAGTACTAAATTATCTGTAGTTGTGCCCCAGGCAAGCACACACTGTTTGTCAGGTAGATTTCCAGCTACTACTGTCTGGTCAGTTTTGGAAAGACTGCTTTACTTTTAATCATGTATTTCTATGGCGTATGTTTAACAAATTTCTAAGTTGAAGAAAGAGAGGCATACAATGCAACTATGTCCCTTAGGCACTGCAGGTAATCAATGATAGAAACGGGATGTTCATGTCCAAGCAACAAAAAACTGAAAGCTCTGCACATTTATTCTTATATCTACATCCCACCTTTTTCCTGTAAGGAAATCAAAGCAGATTTGACTTTTCTATTTTATCCTCACAACAACCTTGTGAGGTAGGTTATGCTGCAAGAAGTAGGATTCTGCTGTAAATCTTCTATCAAGTTAACCAATCACCAAAATGTGTTACTACTTCAAGATAGTCCAAGTTTCTTACAAAATTATGAGCGGTTGTTGATAAATAACCTCTAAAGAGAAAATTAACCAATCTCTCTAAATTCTTACCACTGCTTGTTAGAATGAAAGGCTGTGTAGGATGTACAACAATGCAGCGGATATAATCTGAGTGTGCTTCAAACATATGAACTCTTTCCAAAGTGTTGTAGTTGAAAACTCTAATTTGCATATCATCCTATAAAAGAAAGAAAAACTAGTGAAAAGCAGAATCTGTATAAAGGCTGATCATGCAGCTCTATATATTAACTGTGATTCATGTAAAAACTGTTTACTTTTATATATTTCAGTAAAAACAAAGACTTCAAGTATGTGTCTCAGTGCTCAGAGTATACTACTCTATGGACTTTTAAAAACTGTTTCATATGGTTATGCTGGTTGTTTAATCACTTCCAGACTTACTTAAAAGGTGCTAGTTCTTATTTATAAATGGCTTGGGACCCAAATACCTGAAGGACCACCTTCCCCATATATTTCCTCCATACATTCTGCTCAGCATCTGAGGTCAAACTCCGAGTGCTTTCACTGATTACAGTCTGGCAGGTGTATACTGGGACCTGACTTTTTAGTGGGGTGTCAACTCTGATGCCATCTCTCTATCAGGGCTAATTGAGGACCACTTATCCCTGCTACAGCAGCCTTCAAGTATCAGAAGGCTTATGGAACTAGCTAAGACTATTTCTTGATGTTGATTATTTCTTACTGCATTGCTGTCATCTTCTATAACTATTACGCTGTTTATATCTATTATGTCTATATCTATTATGCTGCTTTTCATCTTTACACTCTTTGCTTTTTATAAGTGATATAAGTTTGTGCACATACTATTACAAGCAGCCTTCAGTTTATACAGAAAGATAAGCTACACATCTTAAAAATAACAAATGTAAGTAATCTTTAGGATCATATTGTATTTCTTTCAGTGAATTATGCATTTTAACAGCTTCTGATACTATACCATCCAGCACCCCGCAATAAGTCACCTTTTAGAATCCTCAGTCACCACACCACAAATATAAAAAACAGTTTGACAGATCAATGCAAGAGAAATCCAGTAGTAGGAATAAAATATACAAGTACACAGGTGGTTCTAGGAGACCCAATTTGTGCATATAAGATGACAAACATACCGCATAACTTGCATCTGCAATTAAACTTGCACTTCAAAGTTTCCTGCCTCTAAAATTACAGAAGTAATTACAATTCAGTAAACAATTCTTATGTGATCGCTGGCTCCCAGATTCAAATTCATCAACAACAAAATTTAGATAGTAAAAAACTGTCAACTTACAGCTCCTGTAACAACCCAATTCTTCCTTGCCACAAATTTAGCAGCTCTGACTGGCAGGTCACATACTTCAAAGGTTTTCACCAGCATCTAAAAATGAAAGTTGAGGTTTTATGTTTACTGTATTTATGCAGTGTGCTTTTCAAATTTGCCTCAGCTATTTCAGATGGTTATTTTTCAAGTGCCAGAACTTCAGAAATAATAAACTAGGAATGTTAATAAGTTGAGAACAGTATCCTATGCAGGGATATGCAACAGGGAATTAACAGTTCTTAACAGAAATCTGAATGTCTGGAACTGGACAGAAGGGAGCTCTGCTGTTTTCTCCTATTCTGGAAATGAATTTTTCCAGATGGTACTAACTCTTCCTTAGTGGGTTCCCCAGCCCAACAGAATAAGCAGAAGTCATCCACAGTATTGGCTATTGCCCTACATGATTTTTCTAATGTTAGATAACTGTTAATACTGAGTATTCTTGAAAAAGGAACAACCACATAGTTAAAAATCCTTGGATACCTATAAACTTTAGGAGGAAACCTACAAGTGCCATGCAATTACCTAGGAAGCAAACTGAGAAAACATTATGAGAAAACAAAGAGTCCAGGACAATTCAGGGGCATCCAGCTGCTCACTGCTTTAAATAAAACACATGTTTTGTTCACAGCTTTTTTGCTTCACTTCAACTAACTTATTAATTCCAACTAATCTTTTATAATTAACATACCGTGTATCAAATCTTACCTGTGTTTCATGGTTCCAAACACAGACACTACCATTGTATAGACTAGCCAACATCCATGGCTCCGTGGGATGCAAGTCCACACTCTTTACTCGGTCTGATCGAGCTGTTAATTTACGCTTGATATCAAGTCGGAGAGGCTAAACAGCAAAATAATAGGCAATAATTGTTCATATTTACACTTTAAGGAAAATGAAGATTAGGCCTGAACAGCTAATCATATTTAAGTATGGGGTCTGCACTGCCTGTATCCCAATATGTTTACCTGTTGACTCTCACAGAGGTTGACTGAAATGACCCACAGACTTAATCTAATCCAGGCCATACTTAAAACAGCAACATACCACTGCCTGTCTTCAGTCCACTGAACCATTATCGTTCTGCAAAACAGAATATGTTGACCATCTCCTGACTAATTAGATGATGAACAATTTTTCAATGCAAAAAGGACTGCAGATGTGAAATTACTGTTTGGAGATTCTAGGGGCGTGAAGAGGCAGTGGTGCCATTTGTGTACATGCACAATCCAGACTGAAGGACAAGGGTAGGAAAGCATCAACAGAACAGCTAGGAGTTTCTGTTTAAAAAGACCAATGTCTGAAATAAAAGTACAGGGCCCCTAATGATCTCTTGTTATATCTGATTAGTTGACTTTTTGCCCACATGAGCTTCACCTCCTCCTAAGCCCCCCACCCCCGCTCCGTTTTTCCCTCTGAAACCAAATGTCTTCCTTTCACCTGTCATACATTCTTTTAACAAACAGGAAAGTCTTTAAGGTCCTGAAATGGCAAATAGACAGAGGCATTTAAAGCACATCATATGCCAATTTGGCCTTTTTCTTTTTGCACTCTGAGCCTGAACTCCCAGATCTTTTCAGCATCTAGCACTGCCCCATACATCTGCAGAAGAAGCCAAAAATCTTTTCCAGTTCTCGAAAGTTGCTGTTTACTAAAGTTGGACTACAGTATCTTGTTTTACTATAATTACTGATTATTAAGATCATTTAATAGGTTTGAATTTCATTCTGAAAAGTGGAAAGTGAGGGTGTAAGCTTTAATAAACTATAAGGCAGCACTACAAATCCATACATTCAAGTAAATCTTGCTGCTTCTTGGACACACATTTCTATATACATTTATACAGAGCACTTCAGGTATAGGGTGGTATAAAAGGTAAAGGTTTCCCCTTGACATTAAGTCCAGTCATGTCTGACTCCAGGGGGTGGTGCTCATCTCCGCTTCCTAGCCGAGAGACCCAGCATTTGTCCACAGACAGTCTTCGTGGTCATGTGGCCAGCATGTCTGAACACCGAGGTGCATGGAATGCTGTCACCTTCCCACCGAAGTGGTACTTTTTATCTACTTGCATTTGCATGCTTTCGAACTGCAAGGTTGGCAGGAGCTGGGACGGAGCAACGGGAACTCACCCCATTGTGCAGATTCGAACTGGCGACCTTTTGATCAACCAGGCCAGCAGCACAGCAATTTAAATCACTAATAAATGCATACATCCATAAAATCTGAAGGTGTGCAACACTACTTTGATAACAATTTTAGCAAATATTGTCTTGAAAGGTGGGGTATTCTCCACTAGAACATGTCTCATGGCTCCCTCTCGGGAATGTTGTAGTAGTGGCTCTCCTACATCTGCAAGGCCAAGATGACCTTTGAACTCACTTCCAACCCTATGTATCTATGACCATGCACATCCAGGCCTCCTTCCAATTTAATCACTACCAAACCAGTCTGCAGAAATGAACATTAAAACAAACATTCAAGCCACGAGGCACTGAATATACCGTCCACACATTCACAGGCTCCAAAGGGAGTCTTCAGTCTGTGGTGGCATCCTGACACATTTATCCTCCACAAAATCTAGTGTACAGTTAAGCTTTTAGAGGTAAATCCGCAGCAACTTCATATGCAGGTCTTGCAAAGCAGAGGCTATTCGTTTTGTAACCGACCAGGAATCAGGGTCGTCCCCAAAGGATCTCTCCATTTCTTGCAAAGCAGGCAGAAGTCAACTGGTGAAGCGTTTCTTGTCCCTTTGCTTCCATTCTAAGAAACGCTTTACCAGCTAGATTTTGCCTGCTGTGCAGCTCGTGACCACGCACGATCTTTGCCGACAAAACGGTGGCAACAAACGACTGGAAGAGCAACCGCCCTGCCTCCCTGAGCCCCTCCACCTCCCCGACAGGCCTCCCCGCCGCCTTCCGGAAACCCCGCTCCTCCTCAACCCACAGGCTATAACAGAGCATCCCCCCACAAACGACATCCGCCCTCCAGTCGTTAGAGGGACCGAGCGACTCACCATGGCTTCGGCTCCCGCTCAGAGCCGCGACTGCGGCCACCCAACTGGCTTAGAAGCTTTCGTAGCCCAATTCACCGACGTGGAGCTTCCGGCTTCAGCCGTTCCCGCGACAGCAACGCGAGAACCTCGGCGCGAACTCTTCCGCCAAGCTTGCTGCGCCTCGGGCAGCTGGATGGAGCGAAGGAATTTTTTCATAGAGATAGGAAAGGGTAGACTTTCTGTAAAGGTACGACCTAAGCTTGTGTTTTTCAGATCTATTCAGGAGTAAGTCTCACTGAGTTTAGTGAGCTTGCACCGAGAGAAGTGATTATAGCTTTAAAAGTGCAAAACTAATTCTATAGAGGTCAAATCTAGATTTAGTCCTACGAAACTGTGCGCAGGATTGAAACCTTGCAATGTAAGCCTATGTCTGTCTATCAAAGAAGTTAGCTCTGCTAAGTTCAGTGTACAAAAACTTTGCAACGTCAATTTAGCCAATGTGAATTTAGCCTAGCTGTAACCTGAGATGCGCGTTTTCTCCTGGTAGGAATCAGGTTTAATCATACTTAGAGTGGACTTTTTAGGAAGGCTCAGTGTCAGATTTTGACAGCATCAATCTTCAAATTAGTTCCCCTAAAAATTATGCTGCTAGTTTCTCTCTTTTAAAAAATGATTTGGTAAATTATATTTTCACAATTTATTTAGAGATCGTGTAACTAGAGCAAAACCTCTAAAGTCCTGTTAGTTTTTGAGTTGGTCCATATGGGAAGGTTTGAATTGGCTTGTGGTAAAGTTGTGTCCTGGCCCTAAAATATCCAGAATCAATATCATATAAGCTTTATGGGATATTCTTCCTGAACGGTCTGAAGTCTTCTATTATGAACTTCTATTATCAACAATTGTTTGCCTTTCCTGCCACCAGTGCATGAATAAATCACCTTTGGGTGTAGCATGTGTATTGCCATGCCAATTTCATTTGCAGCAGTTGGAACTGTCTGAACCAGATTTTCATTTAATGGAATTCTTTGGTTATTGGCCTCCTTGTCACAATGTTCAACTAGCCAGCTAATTGGGATGCTGGGTTCATTGGCAATAAGTCTTTGAACGGGCCTGGGTTGAGAGGCTATTAATCTACTCCATTAACCCATATTGAACAGATGGCAACTGGTTTTAGATCTGGACTGGTGATCTAGAAGTGGCAGGGATATGTCTCCAATTATCCATCTGGTAGCTGCTGCCTGGCTGCTGAATACATGAGCCAGGCACCCAGTAAACAATAAAGTCTAGGAATTATGAGGACTGTCAGATGTATTGTGCTACTGCAACACCACGGAATAGTTAGGCTGCAATTCTTTACATGCCTATCTGTGATTAAGCCCCTTCAACTCAATGGAACTTACTTCTGATGGCACTGTTAGTCGTAATCTAACTGCTGATATATTGGTAGTTTCTGCTGTCTGTCATCAGTGCCATCTGACAATTAGCATTTATCTTTATAGAAGTGAATTAATGGATCATAGTATGGACAATGTGCTATGTTTACACAGACATAATATATAAAAGGCCATAATAGCATTCTGTGAAATAGCAGGCAATTAAAGAAAGCAAGCAGTAAAATTGTTAGTGTTTATAACATGTCTGTATGTGATTAAACACACAAACACACTCATATACAACACATACAGTCACTATCCTATTTGGTCATGTGTGTAAGAACTAATACAAAAACCACTGTAAAATGTATTTGTTTGACATAGCTGCAGTCTAAAAGTATCCCCATGATATCCCTGAAGCCTATGTGACTATTGCAGAATAAAATTTTATATTATATTATATATTATATTATTTGGAAGGGAGGGAAGTAAAGAGATTCTACTGAACAAGGTGGTCCCATTCTAGAAATATCTGAATGAGTTGCTTGGAGATTGTAACATAAGCTTCTATCAAAATCACTTCTATACCAACTGAGCTGCTTCATCAGTATGGCATTTGGTTATTAAAAATAAGAGAGCAGTTTATTTTATCTGTAATCAAGCAGTATATGCTTCAACTTGCGGTAATTAGATTTTGACACTTGAATTGCATTTTAGAACTCATAAAAATGAAGAATGCTTATAAGCATCTCTCAAATGCTAGGACTTTGCATATTATATTGTCAACCAACTTGCTGTGATTTAGTAGATGCAACGATGTGACAAGCAAATTGGAAACAGCTCAGAAGAGTTGGCTTCAAAAAAGCTGGAAGACAATTTCAGCCATGTTATCCTGTGAATCCTGTACACCAGTTCGACAAGGCCTGCCCAGTTTTCTTTGTTTGGGTATAAAGACTAACCCCCAGTCACAAGGTATTTAGAAAGATAATTTGGGATACTCCATATGGCCATGTGAATAATGTGTTAACATACTGACCATAAATGCATCTACAGAGTCACAACATCAGCATACATCTGGGATGCCCACACAAGGACTTGTTGCAAGCCTCATCTCTTGGGCTACAAGCATCCCATCTTGAGTTCTACAGCATGAAGGAAGGGAGGATAGTCCTCACACAGTTGGGTTGCCAATTGCCTAGCCATACTGTAACCACCCCCCCGCCCCCGCCACCGGCATGGGACCAAGCAGCTTTCAGGGCCCTGGACCTGATCCCTCTGGTTCACTTTTAAGTTATAAACAGGAGCATAGCAAACTGAGCAGATCAAGATTGCCCCTTCTGTAATCATGAGTGTACAGCCTTTCACAATAATACATCTTTTCACAATAATACATCTGGTCTAAATTAGCTAGTTCTTTTAATGTAAGTTCAGCATCATCAAGGAGTTGGAAACAAACAATTTAAACAGATGGACCATTTTTTAAAAGGCACTTCTGTTACATTTAGTCAAAAAAAAAAATCAGTCTCTGTAAAACGGCCAGCTTTGATGGGTGTTAAATTCCCATGAACAGGTAAAATACTACTGAAGCACTTTCTCCCCCTGGAAACATCAAATCAGTAGTCCAATCAGCTTTGTCTCTTGGCCGTTTGCTCTGCAAGGAAGGCTGCCTGTGCTCAGAAACCCAATGAACGAGCTCAACTGGGTGGCCTTTATTGATTTTTACTTGGGATTCTCTGTGATTTTTGTTCTCCTTTCACTTTCCCTCACCTGTTCCCAAATATGCTTCTTTTTATACCTCAATCATTTAGTTCAAGAATGTTGCCAGACATGTTCAAATCTGTATCACACATACTGTGTCCCAAAAAATATGACAGCAGGTGGTAGTTTATGAAAACTAATCAATTTTTTGCTATAAAAAAGTGAAAAATCTTGCATTGCCATAGCTTCTCTTGAATACTGGTAATTTTTTCCCCAAGCTCTATCAACCAGCAGCTAACATTTGATCACAGAAAGGGAATGGGGTTTTCTATATGAGGCTTTTAAACCACCACTTTACAGAGGCTCATGATGTTTGATTCATTACAGGATTGAGATCAACACCCTTACAAGGTTTTTCCAAGCATTTTCTTTTCTCTGCCTTTCTGTATGAATCCTCAAAAACCATTTGACAGCCAGTGTACTATAGCAGTTAAGAATGCAGCACTGGGACTCAGGCAATTTGAGTTCTAGTCCCCGCTCAGCCATGAAGCCAGTTTGGGTGACTCTGGAGCAGTCAAAGACTCTCAGCCCAACCTACCTTATAGGGTTGTTGTTGTGGGGATAAGACTGAGAGCAGCAGGAGGATAATTATGTAAGCTGCTTTGAGTTCTTTAAAATAAAAAGGTGGGATATAAGTCTAAAAGAAAAGTAAATACACATCATTATCATGATTAAAAATGATATGCTGTCTTCCCAATGAAGATATAACCATACATATCAGTAAGTTCCATTGAGCATTTACATTTACCTGTGAGTAAACATGCATATGATTCTCTGTTAAGGTGTGTGCATTTTTGACCTGGTCAACGTATAAGACATTGTGAAGGGCGGGATACAAGAACTTTGAATAAATTAATAAAGGCACAATTCTATGCAAGTTTAGACAGCAAAAAGAGATCTACAAATGTTCTTTGGGGCATGCTCGCATAGCATTGCAGCTTAAGTGTGCCAGTTTTCATACTTTTAAACAAAAGCGCACAATTGGTTAAGCTTAGTTGTTCCACCGTTTACAGTTGCGGGTGCTCTGAATTTGGCATGCATCAACCAGAAGATCCGATCAAGGGAGACGCCAAGGAGACAGGGAAAAGCCCCCTCGTGGAGATAGGTCAACTTGCCACGTTGAGCGGCTTGAAGAAATTGCTCAAAGAGGCCCTTCTAGGACCCAGCACGCTATGATAAAACCACGTGCTCCGTGTTCTCTCCCTCGCCTGGCTCCGCCTCCTGCAACCAAACCTCGGAGCCCGCCATGAGTCTGGAAGCGATTCGCTACCGCAGAGGATCCCTGCAAATCCTCAACCAGCTCCTGCTGCCTCATCAGAGCCTCTACGAGGAGATCAGCAGCGTGCGTCAGGGCTGGGAGGCCATCCGGGCCATGAAGGTGCCGCTGCTGCAGCGCACGATCTGCTGCCTAGTTTGCTCTGGTGCTGAAGGATATAGGATTGTCTCAGCTAGGACGTTGCACTTCGGACAGCCGTCCTACGCGGTTAAGAGCTTCGGGACAGGCTGAAGTTCAACTGACATAGCTTTGACGGGGTAGAGAAGCAAAAGATGCAGAGAAGAAAGCTGCAGTTTTGAGTGACAGCCCCGAGTTTGGTAGAAGAGGTCATTCGGCTGGAAGGGGGAGAAATGGGTGCATAGAATTCAGGGCAAGAGATAATGTGTTCAAGAGACCAGATAATTCCTTTTCTCTTCAGTGGCCAAGACTTGGTTTTGTACAACCTGTTTGCAGAGAGAGTTCCATCTGTTTAGCAGGGTACTTGTAGTGCAGGATCAGTAAAATCGCTGAAAGGCCACCTGTTCAACGACTTCCTTCCTGTGTTTAGAGAAGAAGCATACCAGATTTTTAAGAAGGAAAGGTAGAATGCCTACACCAGTGTACTGAAGTGGCAAAGTGCAGCAAAAACAACCTGGTGAGATTCTGCTAGAGACCTTCTAGAGAAACTTAGGAAAAAAATCAATCATACTGCTGACCTTGGAAAAGTACTTGAGGCTGGAACTGGCACTCCCAGTTTGGACCACCCTCCCCACAGCTGGAAGACCAGCATACAGGTGCTGGGGGGCCTGGAAGATGTGCAGGAAAGGGAGGAGAAAGACACCATAGTCCTACAAGGAAACTTGGTGGTACCTCTGGCTCTTCTTCTCCTGAGCCATGTAAAACAGCAAGCATTGTTTTGAGAAAGCCTGACTCTATACTCCTCTTGCTGTCCATTGGTTACCTGTAATCCTTTGAGTTTGGAGATTTACAGGCAGACACATTGGATTGAGCTGCACTTCTGGACAACAGTCTTCATCATCCTGGCTAGTAGAGCTAGCTAGGAGGTTATGGGAGTAATTAGTGCAACACATCTGGAGGATGGTGAAAGCTCATGAGTGGAACTGGCTGGAGTCAGGGGTCAGACTAGATGGCTCAGGAGGCCCCTTCTGTTTCTATGCTTATCTGGGAATAAGTCTCATAGAGTTTCATAAGAGTTATTTCTGTATAGAAATGTATAGGTTTCTGTGTCATCCTAAACACTCACTGCCATGGAGCAATTAAACATCCCTATGACATGTTCTGCTTTGGGAGTATAGCATAAACAGTTCTTGAAGACAGGTCACAGCACTGCTTTTCTTCAATACACCTAATTTACACATAACAAGTTTTCTAACAATCACGTCCCAGTGTCAAATTTATGATTTATGGGCAAGCTCTTGAAGCATGAGGTAGCTCTCCAGGTTGTAGTGAGTGATGTTTAGTACTCCAACCTAGTTTCAGGTGTGGTATTGGGACAATAACTGCATTGATCGTCCTTAGTAGAGGATCTATGCATGGCAATGGATAGTTGGTTCTTCTGGACTTCTCAGTAACTATTGATACCTCTGGACCATTTGACTAAAATTGGCTTTGGAAGCACAGTGTAATGGTGGTTCCAGTCCTTTTCTGAAAGTGTGTTGGTCTATGTGGTTCCCAAGGTTCCCTCTTATCCCCCATGCCTTTCAACATCTATATGAAACTGCTGGAGAGAACATTCAGAGCTTTGGAGGAAAGTGTCCTCAGTATCTGGATGGTACTCAGCTCCATTTCTCAATTTCCTCTACAGATCTTAGAGAAGCTATAGAATTCTTGAACCAATATCTGGAGGTGTTTTGGGATGCACAAAAGAAGAAAAGCTGAGACTTGGTCTTGATTTAAATAGAGATACTATAAGTAGAGAAAATGATGAATATTTATAGGGAATGGGACCAGGTCTTAGAGGGTTGTATTCTGCTTGTAGGACCAAGTGCACAGTAGTTCTCCTGGGACTTTTAACTTTTGAAGTGGCAGTGGTGGCCAGGAGTGTGTGTGTGTGTGTATGCGCATGCGTGCGCACATGTGTGCACACACATTTTATTAGCTTAAGCTGTATACCAGCTGAGACCTTGTCTGAAGAGCTCTGACTTTACCTGGGTTATCCATGCAGTAGTGGCATCCAAAGTAGACTACAATATATTTTACATGGGGCTGCTTTTAAAGACAGTTTGGAATCTACAGCTGGTACTCAATGCAATCCCCTGTTCTTAAGGGCCAGGTGCATGGTTGCTAGTACATTTTGAACCCAATATTAAATGCTGCTTTTGACATTTAAACTTTGTAACAGTTTGGATCCAGCTTATTTGAAGGGGCCACTTCACCTGTACCAGCCAGCCTGAATGTAAGGTCAGCAGTGGAGAATCTTTTCACTTTTCTTCCATTGAGAACAATTAAGCTGGCAAGTGCAAGCAAAAGAACCTTTTCCATCGTGCCTTCATGCCATCATTCAGTTGTGCTGTACGTTAATGGGTCTTTAGCAACAGTTTTTGTTTTTAGTATTTTCTGGTCTTGATGTTTGTTGATAATTAATGTTACTGATTTTCTTGGGATTTTGTTACATAAGTTGCCTTGAAAAGGCTTCCTTCTTAAAGACAGCCTAAAATATTTCTGAATAAATACAAATCAGAGAATTTATAGGTACATTTTCAATACGACGGCCTAACTACATACTGCACTCTCACCCCTAGTAGACTTAGATCCAAGCCTGGATCTTCAAAGGTTAGCCGGGAAACCCAGTGAGCCCCAACAGAAGTTTGTATGCCTGAGTCTTGAACACAGAATAATATTTCTTTTAGGTGATTGCATTCCTTTAGCTTCTGATGGTACCAGCCTGCTTTGGATGCTACAACAGGCCCTATTTTGTCAGCCACAGTGACTGCTGGTCTTACCTGCAGTGTAGCAGATGTAGTTCCTGGCTGCTTGCTGTAAGCACTAGCCCGTTATGTAACCTTCATTTCCTGAGTGACTTCCAGATGTCTGCACCTGTGTTGAATATGCCTTAATGCGCCCTTCCTGGTGGCCCCTAGGTGCTCTGGGCTACAGCTTCCCAGCTTTCCTGACCAGTGATCCTGCTGGCTGAAGCTAAGAGAAACTGAGGTCTAAAGCTGCTCTAATGGCAGCCAAGAAATTAAAAGACACTTGCTCCTGGGGAGGAAAGCTATGGCAAATCTAGACAGCATACTAAAAAGCAGAGACATCACCCTGCCAACAAAAGTGCGTATAGTCAAGGCTATGGTTTTCCTAGTTGCAATGTATGGCTGTGAAAGCTGGACCATAAGGAAGGCTGAGCACAAAAGGATTGAGGCCTTTGAATTGTGGTGCTGGAGGAGACTCCTGTGAGTCCCTTGGAGTACAAGGCGATCAAACTGGTCAGTCCTAGAGGAGATCAACCCTGACTTCTCTTTAGAAGGCCAGATCCTGAAGATGAAACTCAAATACTTTGGCCACCTAATGAGAAGGAAGGACTCACTGGAGAAGAGCCTAATGCTGGGAACAATAGATGGCAAAAGAAGGGGATGACAGAGAATGAGGTGGTTAGATGGAGTCACTGAAGCAGTCGGTGTGAGCTTGGGTGGACTCCGGGGGATGGTGGAGGACAGGAAGGAGGAATGTTGTCCATGGGATCGCAATGGGTCGGACATGACTTCACAACTAACAACAACAATGACTGTCAGTTTCTTATTTGGTCTCTGTGGTGCTTACCCTCTTAAAGGGTTTTCTTTATCTTAGGTGCGTGGTGCTCCAGCCATTGCCATTGTAGGCTGCCTGAGCATAGCAGTGGAGTTGCACAATAAAGGAAATGCAGAATGGAGTGTGGGCAGCCTGGAAATGTTTGTGGCAGACTCATTGAGCTTCCTTGTGAGTGCCCGACCCACTGCTGTCAACATGGCCCGGGCAGCTCAGGAGCTGGGCCACTTTGTCCACCAGGAGGCCAAGCGTGAAGGGACTACTGCTGCGAGTTTGCGAGAAAGGTGAGGACCAATGACTTCCCCTTTCCTTCCTACCCCAAGTTTTATTTGCAAGGACACCTGATTCAGTGTAACCTCTCACCACAGTGTGATTGGCTGGGCAGAAGCCATGCTGGATAAAGACCTGAAAGACAATAAAAGCATCGGGGAACATGGGGCATGTCACCTCCTGCAACGAGTAGGGCAGGACAAAGTTATAGTCCTGACCCACTGCAACACAGGCTCACTGGCGACTGCTGGCTATGGCACCGCACTTGGTAAGTGACATTTCCATGAATTCAAGAAGCATAATCAAGCATAAAAAGCTTCCAACTGCCCTTTTCAGCTAGTCCAGCTTCTTATCCCTGAAAGATTTCTCTAATTCCTCACCATTCCATTCTTTGAAGCAAACAACAGAGCTCAGAATTTGAGCTGTACTTCTGTAGATATGGAATCATCATCCCTTATAGGGATGCTACCCACTTAAGCCTGACATGGTGTCGTGTCTTGTCAATATTGATGATGTTGCCTTGTAGGTGTGATTCGCTCCCTGCATGCCATGGGTCATCTGGAGCATGTCTACTGCACAGAGACACGACCATACAACCAAGGAGCACGGCTGACTGCCTACGAGCTGGTTTACGAGAAGATTCCTGCCACACTCATCGCTGACAGCATGGTCTCTATGGCCATGAAGGAGAAAAAGATATCAGGTGAACATTTTGTGTGTATCCCTGTTTCTCTCCATTTCCCCATCCCACGACTAAAGCAAGTGAATTAACACTCAATGCCAGCTTGGGCTGTGGAAATTCCTAGGCCATATTGGCAGCAGCAAGCTCTAGTTCTGCACTCAAGCTTCATATTGCAGCTTAAAATTGACATAGGAGCTGCAGCAGTGGCAAGCGGAGGAGCACATGAATGGCTGTGATGGTTAATGTTTGGTCTGTGGCTGCATATCGCCCCTGGAGTAGAGAATACAGAGCTAGTTGGTTCACTGGCCAGACTCCCTCTAAGGCATCTTCCTGTACATTAAGCTCTGCTCAAGCCAGAGATTTGTTAAGTTGGATTTCTTGGAATTGTGGGTGGGTTGGTGGAAGGTAAGAGGAAGTAGGATTGGGAAAGCTCCCCTCACCACTGTCTCTTACATCCATGACAGTTATCATGTCATCCCACTTGATGGCAAGCCACAAGTTGGTATGAACATCATCTTGGAATGGTTGAGAATCTACCATGTTCTGTATCTGGGGTGTGGTAAAGGGGACTTTTATTTAAATGTAATTCATTTATATGCTGCCTTTCTTTACAGTAGGACTCAAGGCAATATAGGTGGGATTCTCAGGTGGTTGCTCATCCTAACATTAACCAGACCTGAACCTGCTTAATTTTATCAAGGTGACTGCATCCCATGCCCTCAGATTATACGCTGGGATATTTATGAAGAAACCAAGCACTGAAAGTGGTATGGCCTTGTTCTTCATGCTTAAATACTTAACACCATATCAGAGCTTCCTGATTGGCTTGAGGAACTTTGGCACTAACTTTGGCAGACATGTCCGAAGAACTGGGTCCTGACTTTGGGCTTTTGATTTTTCTCTTCTTTATTTGAACCTATCCAGCTGTCTTTGTGGGAGCAGACCGAGTTGTTGCCAATGGAGACACTGCTAACAAAGTGGGTACTTATCAGCTGGCTATTGCTGCAAAGTACCATGGGATCCCCTTCTATGTGGCAGCACCCAGCACTTCATGTGACCTGAGCTTAGAACATGGCAGACAAATTGTTATTGAAGAGCGGCCAAGCCAGGAGCTGACGGACATCAGTGGTGTGCGGGTTGCAGCACCAGGTACCAAAGCATGGGTGGGATGATTGCACGGAAATGGAGGGAACCTTTAACGCCTTCCTTCCATTCATAGCTCATGATTGAATAAAGTGTGTGCACCAAGTTACATAATCCAGATAGCTCAATTTTGCACAGTAAGCCTTTGTAAGCCTCTTTTCTATACCTTGAGTATCTAAATATTCTCCTATGGCCTGAAATCTGGGGAAAACTGCACAAGAGCCATGAAAACATCCAGAGGGCCAAACTGACAGCCCAGAAGTCATATTTCTGCACACGGTACTTAGTTAAATATGGCATTCACTTCCATAAGTTGTAGTGGACACCAATCTGGATGGCTTTAAAAGCAGATTCATGGATTAGAAGTCTATCAGTGGCTCCTAGCAATGATGGCTATATGCTACTTCCAGTATCAGAAGGACTCCAGCTAAGCTGGACTTAATCCCTAAGCAGAATTCTGTACCAACACCCTCTGTCTTAGCTGTGTGGTCACTGAATATCCCCATGCTTGGCTCCATGGACAAGAAAGCATAAGCCTTTGCATTGTCACTCCAGAAATCATTTTTTGCCAGCCTACGATCTGAGACCTACAGGATGCTGTGTTATATGTACCTAGAACCCATTCTTTTCTGTGCATTTGAATTACATGTCCTCTCTGGACATGTGCATTTGCTTCTTTGGAGGTGCCTGTATCCCATTTGGAAAACTGGAGCCATAAAATATAGCATTGATTATGAATATGGGAAGTTGACCAAATGAAGGACTCAGTATTCCTATTTATTGCCTTATGGGACCAGTAGTATATATTTTTCTCCTTCTCAGGCATTGGTGTTTGGAACCCGGCGTTTGATGTCACCCCTCATGAACTGATAACGGGCGGCATTGTAACTGAATATGGTGTCTTTGCTCCTGCTGAACTGCAAGCAGCACTGATGCAGAACATGGGAAAAGTATGAAGTACTCAAACCAGGCTGTTTGGATTTCTGGACAACAGTGTGGATCAGGGCAGATTTTGAATCCCATATTTCAGCATTATGGGAATGTGTTTCTAAGTTAGCTCTTTGTATTTGTATATTTTGTTAATCAATACCGATGACTCCTCCCTGCCCCTAACTAAGCAGAGTGTGTGAGTGCTGCGTGAACACACACCACTGTGGGCCTTGCAGTTTCTGTTAAATATGGTCCCTGTGTAATGCCTTGTTCCTGAGACGCTGCTTGCACAGTGTGCTAGGATGATGAGTATCTGGCTCTTGAGCAATTTGTGACTCTTGAGACCCTCTGCTGCAGCCAAGAGCTATGTTCTTCCACTTGTGTGAAGCACTTCAGGAACATTGGAAAATCGTTCTATATCTCAAGGCAGAACTTATTCCCTTGACATCCTTAGGGCAAAACTTACTGTCTTGAATATTTTACAAGTACCAGAATGCCACTGAAAGAAAACTACAATAATCCTGCTTGCACAAAAGCAAAATAATTCATATGTGCATTTTTTCTCTGTGGATTTTCTCTGCATTTTTCTCTCTTTTGTATTTAGTTTTTTCCTATATTCCTTTTTCTGTGCCTTTTGCTCTGATTTGCTTAATAGGCCTGCTTCATATGACAGTCCAGAACATGGAATGAGCATGAATTGTCATTAAATTGTGGCTTATTGTTGAATCAGGGCTTGTTACATGTGAATCCACAAACTATGGATCAACCACAAACAGCTTAGGAAGAGAATCATGGCTTGTTGGGCTGTGAACTCTGGGTTGTTCATGGTTAACAACTCATAGTTAAACCATAGTGCAGGGTTTTCATATAATGACATAATGATTTATGACATTTCACATGATGAGTCTACAGCAATCCACACTACATACTCTAAGTGCAGAGTCAGTGTGGTCAAAAGTGCTGGTTTACAATTCAAGAGATCTGGGTTCGCGTCCCAATGAGCTTCATGGGTGACCTCTAACCAGTCACAGACTCTCAGTGTAGCCTACCTTACAGGGTTGTTGTGAGGATGAAGGAGGAGAACTTTGTAAGTTGCCTTGGATTTTGTGCAAGAATATAAATACAATATGATGATGTAGAGAACAGATGATTGTATCATGAATAAATAGATTTCTTTGACATAGGGAAATCATGCAAATTCTGTTTTCTAGGAAGTTGTTATTTTTTATGGAAGGGAAAGCACTAGGAAGATGTGTGAAAATTAGTAATTATTATTACTGTTATTAATTATATTTCTATACCACCCTCAATAGCCAAAGATCTTTGTCTTCTTACCAGTTGCTTAGCTTTTGTAGCAGGAAGATACGGTTTCTGCATTGGACCAAAGCTCCATTTAAGCTAGCACACTCCAGCCAACTACCCCTGGGAAGCTTGTAAGCAGGGCATGATGGAGGTTCCCAAACTTGTTTGTTAGTGTGGTAATTAGAGCAAAATTCCTGTGGTAAGTATACAGCAAACACACATCATGAACAGGCATGTTTGTGTCTTGTTTCTGTTTGTTTCCCTTTTAGGTTAAATGGAATATTTGCCCAAAGGAAAACATTTGGTTAAGTCCCCAAGTCTTTCCTTAGAGAAAATATAATGATGTGAGCCGCCCCGAGGCTTCGGCGAATGGGGCGGCATAAAAATGTTTTAATAAATAAATAAAATAAATAAATACAGTGATAATGCCAGCTCAAAACACCCCCTTACTCCAAAATTATGTCTTAATTTGAGTGGATTTGTGTTATTGACTGTTGAGGCTTCAGATTGGCTTGTCTTGATGATTCCTGAAGATCACCACTTAAGATCAGTGTTTTCAAACTACTCTTAAAGTCTCACTAGTTTTGTACTTTAGCATGACATTAATCTTAAAGCAAGAAGAGCTGACTTTCTTTGCAACAATGTCTTTTACCCAGTTATGTTCCAAAGAATCTGTTGCATTACCCCTATTCTCTATACTCCCTTCTTGATTTATATGGAAATTGATTGAGGCACTAAAGTTTAGAGATAGAGACTTGACTAAACAAATCTAGTAGATTTGAGGAAGTGTGATTTGGACAAAGGGCATTTTGGCTGAGTTTCAAACAATGCATTTAGGACCTGTACACATGATACAGAAGAATAGCAAAAGTTGCCATTTATTTATTTAAAACCTCTATAACCTGTCTCTCTTCCTGAAGCAACTAACAGCAAAAATCATGAAATGTATATGTGTGTAACACTATCTGTAAGCTCCTGCTCAGCTGCCTTACATCTGCTGTTTCTTCGTTTATACCGACAATTTTCTGTGGAAGTTCGAGAATAACCAGTGTGATAAGCATGCTCACTGCTGATTAATTTAGATGTATGAACAGGATGGATAAATACATTATCAAGAGGTTGAGTGCAGTGGTCTGAATCCCACTTCTTTTAGTCAAGCTACCGTTTCTTAACTGTTTTTTATCCACCTCAGAATATGGAAATAATAATGTAATACTTAGCACAGCTGTCATAAGAATTAACCATGGTAATGCATGTGAAGTGCTTTGAAATGGAACATGTGCTGTAGAAATCTTCAGTATTCTGATTGGCAAACTGCTGACTTTCTGCTAATCTCACAGCTGTTAATGACGCAAGAGTTATGTCAAAAAATACAAGAAAAAAGATAACTTTCAGATAGAGAAGAAGGATATATGGGTTAAGCATAGAAGCAGAGCACTATCTTCCTGCCATCTGGTTACAGGAAAGACAATGAAGAAGCAGGCCAGGCCCATAAATTCATTAATTTTTTGACCTTGTTAGGCCTTAATAATTTATAGAAGGAATTTAAAATTCATAGCAAGTCATAGCATGAAAATAGAAGTCATGGGAGTCTTTATTTATCCTACTGGGAAAATTGCCTTAGCTAGGTTAAGTTGGCATGATTGGCCATTATTTGCAGCAGCTGCAAATCAGAGACCCATGTTTAAATTTTTGTTTCATTAATTAAATGAACAGAATTTGAACACTTACCGATGTGTGTTATGATTGTTACGCAGCCAGTGATCAAATCTGCTATAACTGTCTGATCGGTATAGTGAAGTTGCATTTGACTGAGCCTAATGATTTTTGTTTCAGCAACTCACAGATGGGCTCCTGATGCACTGTGTTCATGAAACGCGCTAATGTGAAAATTTGCTTTAAGGTCAGGGTGATTTAAATAGCCTGTCAAGAGAAGCTTTTAGAACACCCAGTGTGTGACTATAATCCACAAGATTTCTCATTAGGCATGCCTTATATTAAGCATTGATTTTGGCTCAGTTCCTTCAGGTGGAAAGTAGCTCTGTCAGCAGTGTGGGGTAGTAGTCGGTGCTTTAAAAATAATTTCTTTCTCCAGAAGTTGTAATGCCTATTTAATGTTCTTGTTGGAAAGGTTAACACCAGTTATTGTTGTATTTTTTTCCACCTGCTGGCATTTCAACTGTGTATTGTGGGTCAAACAATTAGCAATCACCCAGCAATCATGAACATTTTCTTTGCACAGTGTGGATGTGGTATAACTGAGAATTTTTGCCAAGAGCAGGTTAACAGATAATTTACTCACCATCATGGAAGAAGTAGAGTTAATTTTCAGCTATTCTTATTGTGTTATATGTATGATGCCATATGTGCACCTTTTGATTCTTATGCAAATAAATATGTTAATGATATTTTTATTCCAACAATTGCTCTTGAAAAACAAAGTTTCCTTCTCAACAAAAAATAAACACCACATGGATTATTGGTAACTGATTCACATTTGGAAATTGAATTCTTGGTCATTTACATATAGCAAACACAGTTTATACAGAGACCATATAGGTGATCAGATGATGGGTTGAGTTCTTGAAGTTTCCTATTCGGGACTTGCTGTTTGATGGTGCTTTCAAAAATAAGGCGCATGTGAAGCTGGGCTGTGGCATACAAGTATGGTTCATGTAAAGCCCTGGAGGTTGGATGACAACATGGAGAATGAGTGGGCTGAATGCTAGCAATCTTATGTTTTTACTGGCGAAAGGAGAATTATTAGCTCCATTGAACCCCAGGACAGAGGTACAAAACATTTCAGAAAAGACCAATTTAATTCTGTTCAAGCATAGGACACAACCCTATGCATAGTTACCTGGCAGTCAAGTCAGTTATGCTTAGTAAATGTTCTTAATAAATGTGCACAATATTATATAATGGATAGGTATGTGGAAATCTGTAATAAGCTGTAATTTAGACAAATGATGGAACCATGAGTTGCCACTATCTAGCCCTCTGGGAATAATAGCTTCTCCCATTCCAGTGCTACAAGAAGGGCTTCTGAGGAAACATCTTCCGAAGGGGATGGGAGAAGAAATGCTTTAGATTTGATTCCAAAAGAAGAGGAACTGAAGATGACAAGAAAATAAGGAACATGCCAGCTGTTCTCCCAGTTTCCTGACCGCATTCCCTTTCCTACTGTCGTACAGATAATGAGCCTGGAGGAAGTGAGGAATCTTTACATTGAAAAACAGGAGAGAAATGCTTTACATAAAGTAATGAAGAACTTAAGGGAAGCATCCTCTCCATGTCTTCTACTACATGGAGATGTCCTCAGTTTTATGTTTGCCTTCTAAATGCAGGGATGCAATAAGCAATTCTCAAATGTCTCACTAGAGGACAACATGTCCTCACTAGAGGACAACATTTGTGCATCAAAATGTAATTTCCAATGGTCATTTGTCTGCATCCAAATCCCTTCTCTGTTTATGGCTACTATATATTCATAGGTGATAATCACCATTTATTGCTGAAGGCAATATTAACGACTCAAGAAGTACTATTTCTGTGCATGTAACAAATTGCTGAGCTTTGTAATAAAATGAATATCAAAGTATTTTAGAGTATCTGCACTAATTTCTGATAAATTTTGTTGTCATGGATTCCAGAGTTTAACAAAATATGCCTTATATTTGTTTGAGTCAAGTCATTTCATATTTCGGAGAGATAAAATCTCTTTTGTACTTATTTGGCACACACTCATTTAGCTAAAAAATACATGTGTGTTGACACTAGGTGGCATCATTACTCTGTCCACTATTTTAAATGATTTAGCAGCAGAGAACTCAAAATATCTCAACATTCTTTCATTTTATTTGGATTCACGTCTATCCAAGTCATTCTCTTAATTAGTTCAGCTAGATGAAATATACTATTCATTTCCTAGTATCGTTATACTTTCATTCTGCTACAGCCTTCTTTAAAACATTGAAATTGTAGTTTTAATGTCATATGGAGAGAATCTAATAGATTAATGCTATTTATTCATTTATTTTAGAAATAATCCATGTATTCAGAAATGTTAGTTGTTACATTTACAGTTTAATTATAGTAGCAGATGTATTTTTACATAGTGCATGTTTTTATGTAGAAAAGAACATAATTGCTCTACCACAGCTATGAGAAACCTAAAATTTGTGCACAAATTTACATGTGTGTTACTAAACAATATGGTATCCTTTAGAACTAAGTTTCCAATTCTTTCACTACTATCCTCAGTATTGCCTAGATTGATCACTCTTTAGTTGGGATATGACAGAGCTAATAAATGAATGTGACCTACATTGTAATAGTAAAAACTGCAGTGTAATAGTAAAAATTAAAATAAAGATATTTCCACCATCTCAAAAGGTGGGTTGCTGAGAAGACAAGGACTCAGAGATAACTCAGAGATGCTCAATTCCTGGGTTGCTTGTCATAATGTCTAAACCCAGAATTCTGAATTGTTGGGCTTGAGCAAGTCAGAATCTGAACCCATTGTTAACCTGAGCTGTTTCTCACAGTGGGACTGGATGTGTGCACATGCATGATATGTCACTCCCACTTGTCTTTCCAACATCCTTGAGTTTTTAACTCTGGGAGGTTATGATATGCAGACCGGCTCAGTGTGGTTAATCTTAACCATAGTTTGCTCAACAGAAGTAAACTTTAAACTGTGAGTTATTTGCTTGTTTTATACAAACCATAGTAAACAGAGTCTGCACATAATGCTAAACCGTGGCTGATAAAAAACAGAAGCAAATATTTTTGATTTTTGATTTGCCTGCAGCTCCACTGAAGGCACAAAGAAGAGGTTGGTCTCTAAACAAAGAGGCTTGTTCCCATGGTGATACATCATGGTTTATCATGATAATTAAACATACAGTATTAAAGCTTTGGGGAGTTTGGGAACTTCAGGGTTATAATAAAACTGGCATGTAGTACATGGTTGATTTCAAGCCATTAAAAAGGTTGAAGAGTCAGCCTGTGGAAGTCATTCCCAGGTGAATGTGTTTCCATAGCTATATTTAACAAATGATGTCCCCCAATACATTTAACTTAAAATGCTTGGGGATGTTGTGGTTATGTAATAGCTTGGATCGATCACGTTTTGCACATCTAGTCTTCTTTGTTAGAGCACTTTGAAGTAGTTGACCTTTGCATTTGCACGTTTTTAGTGTGTGGATAACAGCTTCTTAATATGTTCATATTAACTATGATTTTTAGCTAGTGTATGTGCAGCACATCTTTTGGATTTTACCATTCCATTAATCGTGTATAATAAAGGTTCAGCTTTCCTGTACATTTTTACTTTTATTTTATTTTTTGCTTCGCTTGTCCTTCTCATCTTGGGTAGCACAGATGTATGCCAAATTATCTTCCCTTCAGTTGTTCTAAATAGCACATGATTAATAACAAGATTGAGTTTCTAATAATTAAAGACAAATCTCTGCACGTGAGATGTATCTGCAATCAGTGTTTCGTGCTTAACTACAGGCTGTACTGTAATCAGGAAAGGAAGGGGGCAGAATTCATTAACCGGTGTTCCTTCTGTTTTTAATGAGAGTAATTTTTATCTTTTATAGGTTACATTTATTAGTTAAGAGAATAGATAGAGCAGAAGTCATTGTCCATTGATACAATCCTCCATTTCTGTGTTACTGAAGAGCCTATTGTTTCATGAGAAAATAGCAAAATGAGAAGGAAGGATTCACTAAAAGAAATGGAAAAGTTGAAGGAGAAAGAGCAGCATTATTATAAAAGCAAAACCAGCAGAAGGAATAAGAGAGGACAGTATGATCAGCTGGGCTGAGATAAGTAAACAAGAACAAAAATGCTGTTGGAAGAAAGCCTCAGAGATAGATACAGAGACAAGGAGATTTGGTGATGGTAATTTCATTTATAAAGGTCAGCTCTTAGGAGCTGAATGGGAAAGCTAAAGGGTTAGAAGAAGCATTGGGTGCAGGCTAAGGTAAGGTATAAGTTGCAATGGAAGCCTATATATGTCTACTCAGAAGTAAGGTGTACTGTGGTCAGTGGAATTTCTGCCAAGTATGTGGGTATAGGATTGCTGTCCAAGGTAGCCAATGCTTGAGAGATCACTGTGCTTAGAGGAGTGGAGGGCTAGGGATGAGTTGTGGTGGGTCCAGAACAAGGATGAACATCAAAGAGGATAAAGAAAGCTTAAGTTTATGCATATTGCAAACAAAGGATGGAACAGTCGGATGAAGAAAAAATCTGGAAGGAAGACTAATAAGGTATAATTATATGGAATGGCATAGGAGAGATGATAGAATAGCAAATTATGGTGTTGGAAAGAAGTTATGAAAAGAGTATGGAATAGGAAGCCCACAATATTTCTAAGGAGTCAATATTAATCCAGCAAAAGATCTGGAAGCAGAGACCTTGGTAAAGTGTACTAAAAGACTCATGTAAAAAGCAGTGTGGGTTGGTGGAGGGTTCTTCCCTATTTTAAAAATATCAGATATGTAGCTGCAAACTATCTGTCTAGGAAGTAGCTAGTTTGTCCCTGTGCCTTTGGCCCTGTTCAATGGCAAGAATTTTTCAGACTTCATAGTTGAAAACTAGCCCTATTTGGGTGTGCAAAATCCACGTACCTCTTCACATGAATGGGGCCAAACCATCTTGAAGCACGCAGTGCCACAATCAGCAGAGAGCAAGCCCACATACATACAGCTGTCCGTGTGATGAGCTCCACCAAAAGACATTCATAGCAGAAGGGGCTACATCAGACATGTGACTGGGGTGTGGTGACATGTGCATGTGAGTGGACTCTGAATCCCTGAACAGCTATTTTCATATTTTCACTCCCTGCAGTGTTAAATGGGTGGGTAGCTCTGATGAAATCGCTTCAAGGGCTTGCAATCTCACTACATTAGGGCTCCTACAAAAAGGGACTCTAGGACATAGGGGCTTGCTGGATGCAGCAGAATCCTTCCAGAATTTGTTCCACATTTACAGGAGCCCCTTTCATTATTGGGTGGAGAAGGAACTGTGTTCTGCTCATTTTCCAGAGAATCATTCTGTTTATTATTCCACATGTTCCAAGATCTCCAGCTGAACTACCACATCTCTGCTAGTTGCACTGCTGTCATGGGACCCCTTTGTTTGTACAGGGGGGCTTTGCACTTCTAAAAATAATCGCAGAAATGAAATGCTAATTCGCAGATTGGGACAGGTCTGCAAAGCTCCCTTCTGAAAGTTCTGCTGCATATTTATAAGTGCCAAAGCACCGTTACATGAGCAGTGAGTCCTGTGAGTGCTTGGGCTCAGAATCCTAGCACTCAAAATGGATTTCGTAGAGAAGCTCTGATTTGAAGCTAACCGCCCTGATTTTACACTCAATGTGTATGAGTGGCCTAGGGATGCCCTAGGGAGG